GCATTTACCCATTGTATCCCACCTCCTAGGGTGACTGTGCGGACTAAATGAGTTAGCACATCTGAAGCCCCTGGACGTGGCTCCATTGTGCCAGCTGTAATCAGGACCCCTCACTCGTAACTGAGTCCCTGGCACATGTCTGCTCTTTCTGGCCATGCTAGTCCAATCTGAACGGCTCGCCCCTAGTCTTCAAAGGATGCACAGCAAACAGACGTCTGTTCTCTCACTCCGAGACAGGAAAAAGAGGAAACTGTGTTGACTTTAAAGAGGATATGGGAAAAGAACTGTTATTTTTCAGCCCGATACCCTACTTAGGACTTTACATATGTTGCCTCATTTAATCCTTGTGGCGACTCACTAGACTATATGCAATTATCTCCAGTGTACAGATGAACAGTGGGGCTCATGGATTTAAGTAGACTGCCCCAAATCACACAATTCCCAAGTGAGAGCGCCAACAGCCGCCTGAGGAGTCCCTACGTTGTGCTACTAAGCGCACAGCACCCGTGAAAGTCAAGTGCATGCGCCCTCAGCCTCCTGTGCTAACAAGCAATCGCAGCCTCTGACAGCGGACGAGCACGTCACACACCTGGGAGTGCCTCTCTACATTAACCCTAGTCCCCCATCCCAAGGGGGCCCTCAACTAGACGAGTCAGGACGATAATTCCCACTTTACAGATGGCAGGGTTGAGCCAGCACATTTTGCCCAGGTGGGAGAGTTCTTCTGGTCGCCTGTGACGGAGCAGGACTCTGGACCTCTGAGTTCTCCTCCACCCTCCCCCGAGCTACTGTCCCGTGAGCACCCACAACAAAGAAGGCATTGGGCAAAGTGAGAGAAATTCAGCCCTGACTTTGTCCTTCTCAGAGAAGGAATGAGGCCATAACCATTCCCAATCTGGTCGGTCTTTTCTGAACAGCTGGTCCTTGCCATGCACTCCCCGGAGAGTGCCTTCTGGAGATGGAGAGATTGATCTCAGTGGACCCTGCCTCCCAGGAGCCTGCCATCTGGTAGAGTGGGTGACATAAACACCTACACATCAAGGTGGAATGGGATAGAGTCAATAACAGGGCTTCTCAGTCTCTGCTGAAAGGCCATCTGAAAATCTACAAGGTTTATTCCCAGAGCTTCATGGAGCTTGGATTCCATATGTTTCATTTCTGCCGAAGTCTTCCATGCCTACTTTTGATAGGAATGGGACCAGAAAGTCTTGGATCTTCCTAGCTCATGCCTTCTTTGGGACCTGTGGCTTCTCTCTGCATCTCCCTGCTCTCTCTAGCTTCAGTTCCTTTTCTGCAACACTGCCTGTGCTTGGAGATTCTCCCGTACTCCAGGGCTTACGTAAACTATGTAACCTCTCCTACTGTCATTACAAGCCTGAGGCCCTTCCAGACTTCACGGACTGACCTCCCTCCCCTAGTGGTGCCGTGGTTTCCAGGCTGGCTCTAGTGTGTGCCCGGCCTCTGCATCCACGGGAGAAGAGAGTGATAAGTCCACACGGACTCGAGCAGTGCCTCTCCTGGCCATCAGTCCAGGCCAAGGAAAGCCCCTTTCCCAGCCAGGCCAGCTGCTCCCTGCTTCTCTGAGCCCCAAGCTCCCTGCTGCCCCAAGTTCACACTCACAGGAAGTCAGAAACTGCCAGCATGGCTTCAAGCCCCCCGTGGTGCCTGCTCGCTGTTCCCCCAAAGCCCCGAGGACCATGAGAGCCTTAACAGTCCCTCTGCTACGAGCCAAGCTGGTGATGACCCAGAGTCACTGAGGGCCACGTGCTCACCAGCAGGCATGCCAGGCCCTGGTCCAGAAGACCCTCTCCCGCTGATAGAGGAGAAAGCCTGAACTGAGACGGACAATCATCTGACTCTAAACCACGAGAGCTGAAGATCAGTCACTCTGACTGAAGGTGAACTAGCTAATTTTATGAGATGGTAAACTCTATTCTTCAGCAGGGCCTACACCTAGCCCAACCTGCAATTGTGCAGATATACATTGTGAATACATAAGGGGCAGTAACTTGGTAAAATGAGAATGATCTAGATTATCCCAGCCTGACTAGTGAAAATACAACTCCTATTTTAAGAGCCAGGAAAGGTGCCTTCATGCATGATATACTAACCTATATATATCTGAGAGAATAGGTCCCTCTGAGCATCCAAGGAGTGATAATAGGGTACCAATTTGATCCCATTCTGTTATAAGTCTTGGGGCCAGAATCTCTCTAACCCTTAGATTTCCTATCTGCCCATGAAGATATTATCTATCCCTTGGGTTGCTGTGATGGTGGATAAAGTCATAAAGAAAAGAAGGTAGCAGAGCATCCTGTGCCCAATAAATATTGTGCTCTTTCTTTCCTTCCTAAAGCAAATCCTTTGAATCCGTCTCCAGCCCTGTGGAACTGTGGTCTCCCTGACACCTGAATCTCCCAGGTTTGGGAACAAGTATGGTTTTAAGACTTTGAGAGGAAGGGATTTCTAATGTTTTGCAAAGCCCAGGGTCTTTCAGCTGAGAGCAGAGAAACTGTGCTTTAAGTGAAGTTTTGAGCAGAGATTTCCTGCTCCTGAGAACGTGGGGATGTGGGGAGAGTCCAGTCTCCCCGGGGACTGGACTGTGGGCTTCCTACCAAGGTCAGCTTCCACAAAACTTGCCCTCTAGCTCTGCATACAAGGTGATGTCGTCCCTGGTGGGAGGTTATGCAAAGGGTAATGGGGCACATGTAAGCATCCTCCCCCTACACGGACCTTCACTGCTAGCCAAGCATGTCACAAATGAGAGATGCCTGGGGAGGAAGTCGGGACCACTGCTTTGGAAAATGCGGCCTCTGCCTGCAGCAAGCCAGGGAAAGTGGCTGTTACCAGTCCAGATTAGGGAATGTCTCCTCCAGCTCAGCCTATGGGAAGACCCACTGCAGCCCAGAGAAATATCAGGAAGCTTGCTGATGTCAGCAGAGAACAGAGACCAGAACCAGAGAGCCCCTGTTGGTTGGGGCTCCTTAAAGCAGATGGCACGGTGTCCTCCCACCAGCCACTGTGCCCAAGCCCAGTGCAAATAGCAGGTGGCAGGACTCTGCAGTGAGCCCATCCCAAGGTTCCAGGCAAGAAAGACCTCCCAGCCCTCTGACCCCTGCCTCCCACCTGGGAGTCAGTCCCACGTCCCCCCGGTGGTCCTGCGGCCAGCTTCATCCTGAGCACATCCGAGCTGGAGCTGACGCTGGCATTTGGCTAAGGCCGCACTCCAGAGGTTAATCATTGGCCTGGTATGAAAAGTCCAGGGCAATTAACCGGAATCAAGAGAGGCTCCAGCTGCCACCCGACACCCATATTTGTCCCTACCTCCCTGAACCCGCTCCCCCAACTCTTCCGAAGAACTGGAGAAACAGAATACCTTTATCTCCACGAGGAAATAAAGAGGTGCTTTGCTGGGAAATTCCCTCACGGAAAAGAAGGAACCAAGATAAACAGCTCTATTGCCTTTGGCTCAAGCTAGCGAAGGGCGTCTCTGGGAGCAGGAGCGAGGCCAAGGCAGGAAGGGGGGCCTGGGAGACAGGTCTCTGCGCTCCCTGCTGCCTCAAGCCTCCTTATCTTTACGGGTGCTCGTCACTGCCCAACACGTGTTAACACAGCTTCCTCCTTCCCCCCATCATCGTCAAGACTGTTCCAAGATTGAAAGCCTGGCAAGGTCCGTGGGAGAGTGGGGACTCCCATCTTCACCTCCATCTTCCTCCAGGCTGCGGTCAGCCAGGGTCCAGAGGACAGCTGCGGTCAGGCCAGGCCCTGCTGTTCTCAGCCCTCCCCAGTCCTGGGCTGTGTCCCCAGATGTGGCAAGGTCCACACGTGCGACACCCTCTGAGTGGCCTCCCCTCGGATTTTCCATCTTTGCCCGTCAGCCTCACCAAGGAGGAGGCAGTCACACCTACATGTTTTACCCGGACCCTGTAAGGGAGTCTCTGGGAAATCCTGGGCATGTCACTCGGCAGCTCACTGTCTTGATTTTTCTTATCCAGGAAGTGGTTATAATCTTATCTGTCCTGTCTCATTTAAAGGGAACTTCTAGAGCTCCAGTGAAGTGGTGTAAATGACAACGTTTGAAAAGCAAAGAGCGCTCCACAGATAACAAGAATAAGCACGAAGGATAAGCACCTCACTCGGTGTGAGATGGAATACAGGCAGTGAGACGGGCTCAGAGCTTGGACTCTGGGGGTCAGATAATGCAGGGTTTGGCCTTCCCCACCACCTCCACCCCCACGCTACCTACTCCCACATTTAATGCTTGTGTGGCCTTGAGGAAAGCCCTTAACCTTTAAGCTTTCCTTTCCTCCTATGTCAAGTAGAGATAAGAATGCTTGCCTCTCAGGAGTGATACCAAGTTTAAATGAGATACTACAGCTACATTGTTTCACGGGGACATCATGGAACGCTGTGCCAGGACCGTTGGCAGCTCTTGTGACCATCATCATCACCTTAACCCTTATGAGGCTGCCTCTATGCATCTCTATTTACTCATGTGACAGGCCATAAAATATGTCAGCTCCCCTCCACCTCCCAGGGAAGTAGGGAGGGCAGCTGGAACAGAGAGGTGGAGACACTTCTTGGCAGTAACCAATGATCTGGGGAGCTGTTCCTGAGATCCTACTGATCTTGCCCACGACGGTGCCTACCCCCAGCCCCATGCGGGTAGGGAAACAGAGGAAATGATGTGTGTGTGTGTGTCCCTAACCCAAAGGAACTGGCAACTTAGCTGAGAAGATAAAAGTCTACTTATCCCTACTAAAGAACAAAAGGCATTGTGGGACGACGGGACTTTGACCTGTGATGGGAAAGGCGGGGCCGTTCATTCTTTGACAGGTTTTATGTTCATTACTGGAGACGCAAAATCAAACGGGTGTTACAGGGGCCGGAAGGTCAGCGAGCCTTGGACGACAGAGGCGTCTCATCCCCTTGCGCCCTTGTCTTTCAGCAACCACGCAGGTCGGTGGCCTGGCGGCAGAGCCCCGCAGAAGCCCCCAGCCATGTCGCGCCTGTTCCTCGCCTGCCTGCTGGCCGTGTTCCCAGGTGCGTTGGCCAGGCCCCAGCCCCTCCACCCTAGTCCCCGGGGCCCAGGGGCGGCCCCGCAAGGCTCGCAGCCCCTCGGGGAGCAACCACAGGCAGTGAAGGGAGGGTGGGTGAGCCAGCGCTGGGGTGTCAGGGCTGGAAATGCCACTCTCGCCCGTCTGGCCAAGGGTCTTCACTGGGAGTAAGGAAAACGAGACCTTGACCTTGAACCAAACCTCACTCTGAGTTGCTTTGGGGTTTGGGAGAAATGACTCATATTTGTGCCTGTTAACATTTCTATCTGGAAAAAAAAAGAAAAAAAGAATCTACAAAGTGTTTTAGAAATATAGGGAAATAGCAGATAACAAATGAAATAATATAACACTCCACAAGGATGGTTTTAAATATAAATATATATGTTTATATATATTTAAATGTATATAAAAATATAATATATAAATATGTTATACATATTTAAATATGTATAAATATATGTATATATGCAAGAAATATTATATGTATACGTGCAAGGGATATCACTAAATAAGTTTGCCATTTGTTTTCTTAATGGGCTATCATTAATGAATTAAGATTAAAATCTTAGAATTGTTTAATAATTGTGCAATGTAGCAATTGCCTAGCTGCAGCACCACACATCTCAGGAGGAAAAGTGCATGTCCTCAGCGTGGACTGCCCAGACCCCCTCAGGAGGCTTTCCCTCCGACAGCCTCAGAAAGCCCGTCTGTGTCCCTGCAGTGGTCTCCATGAAGAGCCCCATCTTCGGTCCCGAGGAGGTGGCCAGTGTGGAAGGCCGCTCGGTGTCCATCACGTGCTACTACCCGCCCACCTCCGTCAACCGGCACACGCGCAAGTACTGGTGCCGGCAGGGAGCCAGGGGCCACTGCACAACCCTCATCTCCTCGGGCGGCTACGTCTCCAGCGACTACACGGGCAGAGCCAACCTCACCAACTTCCCGGAGAGCGGCACGTTTGTGGTGGACATCAGCCACCTCACACAGAACGACTCGGGGCGCTACAAATGTGGCCTGGGCATTAGCAGCCGTGGTCTCAACTTCGACGTGAGCCTGGTGGTCAGCCAAGGTAAGGGCTCAGACTCCTTAGATTTCTGGGGAGAGCGAGAGGGAGGAAGGATTTCCCGAGAGGGCAGGGAGTCCTGGTATGGGGAAGGCTGTGGGTCCATCTAGAGCCTTCCATCTGCACAGTAGAAGGTGGGAATGAGCCAGATGGGACTTACTTGGATAGGGGAAGGGCGGATGGGCCGCTCTAGGTCTTAAGGGCCTGACACAGTTCTGGTTTTACTAAAGCTCTAGCTTAGAAGAGCGTGAGGAGAGCAAATTCTCTCCTCGTATTTGTTGTAGGTGGGACCAGAGGTCCATGAGCAGGGGGAGATTCTCAGGGATCCTTAAATTCCTGCCATTACAGCGCCCTTCAGATCAAGACCTTGAGCCACCAGACTTCTTTTAACATGTGTTCTCTTACCTGACCTCCAATAGTCCCTCAGAAGTCTACGCATAAATTAAATGATCAGTTCTTGTCCAAAGACCATAAGATTGGATGTAACAAATGATACGGGCAGAAGTATCAAGCGAGAATAGAGCAGGGGGAGATGAGTGCCAGCTGGGGAAGGCTTCCTGGAGGAGGCAGCAGTAAAGCTGGGCTTTGGAAGACAGATTCTGGCGCTGTCTCTCTGGGAAAGAAGGCCCTCCGGGTGACAAGCACAGCCAGCCCTCATCAGAAACACTGAGGAGCTGAACCGTGCGGAAGGCAGCTCAGCATCCCACGATGCAAGAAACTAACACCGCAACTTGTTCCCCACCCTTCACCCCACAGATCCTGTACAGACAAGTGATGTCCACGTCTACCCTGTAGAACTGGGCAGGACCGTGACCATCAACTGCCCTTTCACGAAAGCAAATTCTCAGAAGATAAAATCCCTGTGCAAGAAGATAGGCCAGACTTGTGTCCAGATCATTGACTCCACCGGGTATAAGAGCTTTGACTATGCCGAGAGAGCGCATCTCAGTATCCTGGGTACCGACACATCAGTGTTCAGCGTTGTCATCAACCAAATCAGGAGCAGTGATGCTGGGACGTATGTCTGCCAGGCTGGAGACGATGCCAAAGCAGATAAGAGCAACGCTGTCCTCCAGGTGCTAGAGCCTGAGCCTGAACTGATTTACGGAGACTTGAGGAGCTCGGTGACCTTTGACTGCACCCTGGGCCCCGAGGTGGCAAATATGGCCAAATTTCTGTGCCTGCAGAAGAACGGGAAAGCTTGTGATGTGGTCATCAACACATTGGGGAAGAAGGCTCAGGACTTCCAGGGCAGAATCCTGTTCCAGGCCAAGACCAACGGCGTCGTCAGCGTGCACATTACCAGCCTGAGGAAAGAGGACGCGGGGCGCTACGTGTGCGGGGCCCAGCCTGAGGGTGAGCCCCAAGAGGGCTGGCCTGTGCAGGTTTGGCAGCTCTTCGTCAATGAAGGTGAGACCTGAGAGGCGGAGAGGGGCGAGGTGGGCAGTCTGCAGGGGAGAGCCCTGCTCGGCCCTCTGGGGCTGTCTGACAGCATCTGTCCATTGACCGTATCTGCTCACTGACAAGCCCCGGACCGGATGGTCTGGGGGCGGCACGAGAGCTCCAAAGCTGTGCGCGATGGCCTCTGCCTTGTGCGACCTCTTACCGCCTCTTCTCCGCTACCAAAGGCCTCTGATGGCTGCCCCTGATCCTTAGGAATGGAGGGGGTGAATTTCCCGACTGTCTGGGTTTCAGAGAGCCCTGGGAAGGACTCAACGTGGAGTCTCCCTGACCCGGGAGCAGGATGGCAGCTCACCTGTCACGTTCCGGTGGAAGAAGCCTTGGCTTGTGTGGGTCTCATAGCTTTCCCAGGTCAACGCCCCACCTTCTAAAATCTCCCCTCCAACATCTCTTGGGGCTCCTTGTCATTCAGTATGAGCCAGCTGGATCCCTCCCCCTCCCCTCCCTGGGAGCACTCTGCAGAGAGTTACCCTCTTGAGAAACTGAACCAGTACTTGAAGTTTGTGGTCACTACGCTTGAGGCTTTTCCCATTCCCTGCCCTTCTTTCTCCCGCCAGCTCAGTCCTCACCACCTCCCTCAGCATCTCTGCTTGCCTGGGACTCTCCCAGAGCCTCAGCTTTAGTTTCTTGAAGATATACCATTGCTTCTCTTGGACACAGCCTTTGTGGCCATCAATAATTAAATTAATCTATGCTACATAGTGTATATTTTAAATCATACTGTTCTAAATATATTTTCTTAATTTGGAGGGAAAAAACCACCTGGCCATCTTACGGGATGAACTAATAATAAAAAGACAAAAACTACCTAGAGGGAGACCTTATAAGAAGCCCAAGGCAAAAGGCTGATGGTCACTCTAAATGCCTTTCGTTCTCTGCTCAGAAGAAGGTGGGGAAGGAATAGTGGGGGAGGTCCCTGGAGACAGGGTGAAGGCTCCTGCACCAGGCTCTGTGACATTAGGAAAGGCTTTTTTACTTTCTGAGGCCAGTAAGGGGATTGCTCTAAACCTCACTCTCCACCCTAGCTGAGCCTACGGGGAGGAGGCGGCCCAGACCAGGCTGAGTTCTCCCATCCCATCTCTGTCTGTGCTTCCAGAGACCGCGATCCCCCCAAGTCCCTCCGTGGTGAAAGGTGTGAAGGGAGGCTCTGTGACCGTATCTTGCCCCTACAACCCGAAGGACGCCAACAGCCTGAAGTACTGGTGTCGCTGGGAAGAGGCTCAAAGCGGCCGCTGCCCACAGCTGGTGCAGAGCCAGGGGCTGGTGAAGGAGCAGTACGAGGGCAGGCTGGCACTGTTCGCCGAGCCAGGCAATGGCACCTACACCGTCATCCTCAACCAGCTCACCGACCAGGACACCGGCTTCTACTGGTGCGTGACCGACGGCGACTCACGCTGGACGTCCACAGTGGAGCTCAAGGTTGTCGGAGGTGAGAGTTGAACTTGGGTAAGAGGGAGGGGAGGCAGCTCCAGGACCCCTCCAGTCAACCACAGCATCAGCCCCAGCCACTCTGCCTCCCGCCTCCCGAACCTCCAAGCTGCGGGAGAGAGCCCACCCATTCATCCCGTAACTAGCACTCTCCCCCCATCTGTTCATACCAGCAACAAACACCCTTTCCTGCCCCCACGCTCTCCAAACCACCACACACAGCAACTCCTGTGATCACGAGCATCAGCTTCTTTAACAGTCTATATGGTATCAGCTGAAGCAGAGTTCAGTTCTTTGTACTGAGTCTTCTTGCTGTTGTTCAGTTGCTAAGTCACGTCCAGTTCATAGTGACCCCATGGACCACTGCACACCAGGCTTCCCTGTCCATCAGCAACTCCAGGAGCTTGCTCAAACTCGTGTCCATTGAGGCAGTGATGCCATCCAACCATCTCATCCTGTGTCGTTCCCTTCTCTTCCTGCCTTCAGTCTTTCCCAACATCAGGGTCTTCTCCAATGAGTCAGCTCTTTGCATCAGATGGCCAAAGTACTGGAGCTTCAGCTTCAGCATCAGTCCTTCAAATGAGTATTCAGAGTTGATTTCCTTTAGGATTGACTGATTTCATCTCCTTGCTGTCTAAAGGACTCTCAAGAGTCTTCTCCAGCACTACCATACTGAGTCCAGGAGAGCAGATAACAGCAAGGAAACACATAGAAGCCCTTGCCCAGGCCCATGGTCTGTGATAGACTGGAATGACTCATAGTGGTCACCAATAGTCTACTACATGGGCACAGAATTGTAAGTGATTTTTCTTCAATATAGTGTGTTTATTTAGCACACTGTCCAGAAAGGAACCGGACTGTGGACAAAAAACCCCTGCCCCGGCCCCCAGTCACTTGCCTGCAGCACCACCAGGGCCAACTTCTGCACCTGTTTCTCCCTCCCTGCTCCAGGAGAACCAAGCCTCAAGGCACCCAAGAACGTCACGGCTTGGCTGGGAGAGCCCTTCAAGCTCTCCTGCCACTTCCCCTGCAAGTTCTACTCCTTTGAGAAGTACTGGTGTAAGTGGAGCAACAAAGGCTGCAGCGCCCTGCCCACCCAGGATGACGGCCCCAGCCAGGCCTTTGTGAACTGCGACCAGAACAGCCAGATCGTCTCCCTGAACCTGAACACGGTCACCAAGGCGGATGAAGGCTGGTACTGGTGCGGAGTGAAGGAGGCCCATCAGTACGGAGAGACAGTGGCTGTCTACGTGGCGGTGGAGAACAGGGTGAAGGGTGAGTCTCCGGGGGCCAGGCCCATGTGCCCCAGGGGACTCCAGAGAAAACTGCCTAAGAAAACTTCCACCAAGTGTGGCCCCAGGTTTGACTATAAGAGGTCTGACTATAAGGACGGGGAGCAGGGAGCGGGGTGGTGGGGGGCTTATGCCTCCACCTGCTCTCATTTATCCTTCCAAAAAAGGGCATCCCAAATAAACATACAAACTCATCAAAAATAGTGGATTTGTCAGTTAACCTCAGTCTCAAGACAAATCCCATAGTCACCCTTTCAGGCCACGATGAAGCCCGTTCTCTATGGAGAGGCCTTCTACGTGTAGACGTGTCTAAGTCACTGTTACATCATAGTCTGCCCAAGTCTGCTCCAGAGGGCCAGATAACCTTCATGCACAAGGTCTGGTAAGGAAAATCCAGGCAATCTCTTCCAGTAAGATTGCATTTCAAACTGCTTCTAAAAATATCACATGAAATGTCTTATCCCTAATGAGGGGGTATTTTTGTGTGCATGCGTGCTCAATGGTCAAGTTGTGTTTAATTCTTTGTGACCCCATGGACTGTAGCCCGCCAGGCTCCTCCGTCCATGGGATTCTCCAGGAAAGAATACTGGAGTGGGTTGCCACGTCCTCCTCCAGGGGATCTTCCCAACCCAGGGATGGAACAGGTGTCCCCTGCGTTGGCAAGCAGATTCTTGAGACGCCCAAGGGCTATATTTAGCGCCTGTAGAGATGAGGTTATGGCAGCTTCCAGTTGTCAGGCTCACTGAGGGACCCCTCGCCAAGCTGCGGGCGACTCTTTGCAACCCCATGGATTGTAGCCCACCAGGCTCCTCCGTCCATGGGATTTTCCAGGCAAGAATACTGGAGTGGGTTGCCATTTCCTTGTAGTCAAGAGGCCCTGGGCAAACCCTGTGAAGAATCTCCCGGTCAGCCCTTGCGCACAGCTGGATCTAAGCACGCAGCCTTACAGCAGAAATGAAGTTGGCGTGAATAGGACAGAGGTTGTCTGTGACAGGCTGGAGAAGAGCGTAACTCCCCCTGCTTCTCGTGTCCTCTGAGACCCTGTCCAAAAAGGCTAGAGATCTCTCCATGACCCTGGGATTCCTAATGAAGCCCCGCTCCACAGACTCCCTAAACTTAAGCCCCTCTCTGCTCTCCCCAGGGTCCCAAGACACCAAGCAAGTGAACGCTGCTCCTGGGGGGGCAGCAATAGAATCAAGGGCCAGGGCGATCGAGAACAAAGCCGTTCTGGACTCCAGGTTTTTCGCAGAGGAAAGCGCCGTGAAGGATGCTGCTGGTGGGCCCGGAGCACCCGTAGATACCAGCCGGTGAGGAGAGGCCTGGGGATCCCCACCTGGAGAACATTCGAGAGGCCAAGGACCTGAGGCTGGGTGACCAGATCCCAGGAAGAGAGCCTGTCCGCCTCTTGAGAGTGGGTGCACCCACGCCGCCTTGGCCTGTGGTCTCTGCCCTTCTCCTGAGACCGGGGCGCGGTCCACCATTTAGCCCCATCTCCCAGTCCTGGGATGCAGGGAAGGCCCAGCGCTCGCTTTTGTCCTGTCTGGGAGGGCTTCTTAGAAGGACGGAGGCGGGTGGGGTGGGGTGCTGTATCCGGAGGAGGGAGTGGGTAAACCTGGGAGGCAGAACTGGCTGGAACCAACCTGCCAGCCCCTCCTGGGACCCCCGGTGTCCCTTGCCGGGACTAAGCTAACCCTTCCCCCAGCCCTGCAGAACACGGCGGCAGCTCCAAAGTGCTCGTCTCCACCCTGGTGCCCCTGGGCCTGGTGCTGGCCGCGGGGGTCGTGGCGATTGGAGTGGTCCGAGCCCGGCACAGGAAGAATGTTGGTGAGTTCCAGGCGCCGCCTGCCCGCTGCCCGCAGCCTCCAGCCCCGAGGGGGCTGCCGAGGGCCATCCTCTCTCATTCGCTCGGAGGAAGGGTCCGGCCAAAGGGAGGTGGGGGACGACCAACGCACACGGGCCCGAAACTTCCACGAGGTGCTGCCATCCAAATGCCGTCTCTGGAAGCGCATCTTCAGTCACTGGGGTTTTAAGCTCAAGGGAGGGGCTCCGGGAAGAGGAGGGCAGGGCCCTGCAAACCTGGGCTTCCAGCCTGGTGTGAGGACCAGTCAGCTGGGTGGCGCTGGGCGTCCCCTTCATACCTCTGGTGTCCATACGGCTTGAGACAGAGATGAGGATAATCACCTCCAAGGGCTGGTGTGAGGGCAAAACGAGATCCTGTGCGCTGGAAGGTCCCAGAGTGACGAACAGAGGTCAGGGGCTGCTGGGTCTAGGCTGCCTGTGGACAGGGCCTGGCGGGGAGCCTCGGGTCGTTTTCGTTCTGCCTTGGGTCCTCATCAGAGACAGCCGGCAGAGACCCTGCTCCACTCCAGCTCTCCTGCAGGGATCCCTTGGGGACCTTCCGCCCCCAGCCCTGCACCAACCCTCCTTCTCTCCCCGACAGACCGGATTTCAATCAGGAGCTACCGGACGGATATCAGCATGTCGGACTTTGAGAACTCCAGGGATTTTGAAGGACGTGACAACATGGGAGCCTCTCCAGAGGCCCAAGAGACGTCTCTCGGAGGGAAGGACGGTACGTCCCTCCCTGGAGGACTGCCCAGGCCCCGGGGGACAAGCATGAGCCCCGACTCTGCCTCTGGAGTGGGAATGGGGGGCCACGGAGGGCTGATCCCCCCTCTCCTGCTCTTCACACAGAGTTTGCCACCACTACCGAGGACACGGTGGAGAACAAAGAACCCAAGAAGATGAAGAGGGTGAGGGCAAGGAGGGAGAAGGAGGCCTCGTGAGGGTGATGAGGAAAGGCAGCGCGAAGGCCTGCAGTTAGACACTGGGAGAAGTCGTCTCTGATGGGGACTGGTGCCAGGGGAGGGAAGGGCTGCGCCTTTCTGGCTGCGGGACTGATGTGGCTGAAACCCAGGCAGGAGGTGAGCTGCACTGATGGGCTACCAACAGGAGGAGGGATGGAGGTGGTGCAGGGGGCTGGGGAGGGGACTTGGGGGTGAGGATGGTGACCGCATTAAAGATTCTGGCCATAGGGTAGGCAAGTCAAATGCCATTCGCTGGGGATCAGGGAGGTGCTCTTCCCAGGCCGTGGGACCCACAGACTTAGCTCAGCACCCTCGCAGGAGGATTTTGGGAGACTGGCATTTTCCCTGGGCCTGGAAGACTTTTGCTCACGGGGGGCCCCTTTGCACCCCAACCAAGATCCACATCACTTGAAATTCTACCTGCCTTTGGGTCACAGGTTACCCTCTCCTCATGTTTCCCTGATCCCGAGGCACTAATGCTTATTATCACATCCACGTCTTGTGGCCGCAGTAGAGAGCCCAGCATCTGGAACAGTGAGGGGACCAGGTCGGTCCTGGGGACAGCCATCCCCTCCAGCCTGGTGGCGTGTCTCTGAGCTAGTAGAGGAAGAAGCTGTGAACCTCTGTGGCTAATGCCAGCCCGGGCCACCTCGGCCACGACTGTGGGCAGGGCTTCCGGGGACGGGTCCCGGGCCGCAGAGGTGGTTCCACTCCACGTGTTGAAAGGAGGTAGTGAGACCGAGGGAGGTATTTTTAGAAGCTGCAATTTTCCGTTTCTCACGATCAGTCCCTCTAGGTGAGCGTAGCGGCTGGGATGAGGAGGGTGGGCAGACACAGACTCTAGCTGCTTACGACAAGGTCATTAATTTAGGACACTTAGAGCGACCCCTCCCCTCGACCCCCACTGTCCCAGAGCTGTGGCCCCCAACACTGACTCCTCTCCTGTCACCCCCCAGTCATCCAAGGAGGAAGCCGACGAGGCCTTCACCACCTTCCTCCTCCAGGCCAACAACCTGGCCTCCGCCGCCACCCAGGATGGCCCAAGAGAAGCCTAGACGGAGCCCTAGGCGCCCCTTCCCTCCGCACGTGGCAATCACGCTCCGAATCACGCTGATCCACAGGGCCCTCAGCTCGGGGGGTCCACTGCCTGCACTCACACCCCGCCTAGGCTTCTCCTACCTGTCCTCAGAAGGTGTGCTGGTCCCTTCTTGGTGGCATCCAAGCCTGGCTGACTTGTTCCTATTGGGGGTGAGATGATACGAGGAGTTCCCACCTGCAGCTTATTCGAACGAGAGAAGTAAAGGTGTGGAGGAGAATTAAGATCTCAGAGGGGCCTCTCAGAAAGAAAAGGGACCAGAGTGGGTGGGGAGACAACTGCAGAATGGGGGCCATTCAGGGCTTCCCTGTCCCCTTGTTTGGGGACGTCAGTGGGATTCTTCCTTCCACCCCATCTCTGCACCTCTCCATCCCCACTCCAGTCCATCTTCTCTTCTTCTTTCCCTCATTAAAAATGTGCATTTGGTTACTCACTAGATTCCAGGTGCTCTGCTAGACATTGGGATAGATAGGCTGCAATCCCAGCTAGCAGCCTTCTGCAAGCATCATGGAGCCCCTGGAAGCCACAGCATCTCTTTATGTGTACACTCACTAACATCCTCATCAGGTTTCCATACCTCTGCCTGTATTGGGAGAAATCATAAAAAGTCTGCAGCCCTGAGGCCTTAGGTGTATGGGCACACACACAAGGCACCATCAGCAAGTTCTTACCATTTGACAGATGAGAAAACTGAGGCCCTAAGAGGTGAAGAGGTTTGCTCACAGGCAGCAAGTGAGATGTGCTAGTGTCAAAGCTAGATTTGACAACTGCTGTCTACAGAAGGGCCTCTGCTCTCCAGATAGACAGAATTCCATAGGAAGGAGAAGAAAAATGTAAATAAGACTGGTCTTTCACAGGCCCCACCTCAGGGAAGATACCGCTTTCCCTGTCTGTCACTCACAGAGACCTAATAGGAAAAGAGAATGGTCAAACACTCAAAACCCCCATATTTGAAGACTTCTGAGTGGAAAGGGAAAAAAAGTGGGGGCGGGGGGGGGATTTGACGGTGCCAGGGAGGGGCTGAACTCCAAAGAACTGAGGTTTAAGTTTTTTTTCCTTCTAAGCTCTGTACTTCAACTAGCATCTACAAGCTGGCACTTGCTAACAAATCAAAAATGTGAATTAATTAATAATTAAAGACCATGATTTCCTCCAAGGAGGCTCAGACTGCATTTGTCCCCATACCGTCTGTTCCCCAGACAACCCTTTCAGAGCAGTTTGCTGTGGTCCCACTTTTAGGCATCCCAGGACACAAGTCTACACCAGCTTTCCCCTACCTCCAGCGCTGGGCTGAGAGGGGCTAGCAGGTGGCCTGCAAGTGGGACCAAGATTATCTTCAACAAAAAGATAGTTTAGGGTCTATACCAGTGGTCAAGACCACAAAGCTCTGTGTTATAGAAGATAATTAAGACTGAAAGCAGGTGTAACGAGCGCTCCTCTCACGCATTAAAAAATATCTTGGCGTAGCATCCGTGGAATACTTGACCTTAAATCTCATACCTCCCTGGGGTTTCCGCTAAGATCAAGAGGCTGTTAATCAAAACTCAGGTAATCAAATGAATAAACTCCCTCCACAGACTATTAACTAAGTAAAGTATAGTTGCTCAGTTGTGTCCGACTCTTTACGACCCCATGGACTATAGCCTACCAGGCTCCTCTGTCCATGGGATTTTCCAGGCAAGAATACTGGAGTATCTATCAACTAGAGGACAGTTTAGATGATACGTGTTAGACTTTAGAATAATTGACCCAAAGTCTCTTGGGGGACAGAGATTAGATAAAGGATCCCCTTATTGCCTAAGGCCATTCCGAGGTTCTGGTGCTAAACCTTGTCATATTCTATAAGCACTCTCGTCACCGCCATACACTTCTTCAGGGTGTCTGTGTGGAGAGTTCTCTGTGGGAGAGAGTTCTTCCTGACCTTCCACCCCACCTGATATGGAGCAGAACCTGTTCTTGAACATAATTTTTTCCAAGCTATGTGCTTCCCCAGTCTGAGATCTCAGCATTTCGGGAGAACTAAAACTGCAAGATATGTCATAAGCTATCACTGTTTTACCCTCAGGAAGAGGATCTTTGACCCACCAGAGAGTCATGCCTGGGGCAGAGGGCTAAGATACAACTTCTGTGTTAATGTGATAATCTACACACCAGTGCTGAGCTCAGGCAGCCTATCCCGGTCCCGAGAATCAAAAGCCAAGAAACGTCCCTAAAGCTGCAACCTTCTCTTGTTCTGAACTGACACTGTCAATAGGTGACAGCAACTTTAGTACTATGTCCTGCCCCCAATCCACCTGCTCCTTGCACAGACTGCTGGACAGAGAGACTCTTCTGTGAAGAAGGAAGCTGGTCTATGGCCTCAACAGGATCACTAATAAGTTACAAAAAATCACCAAATTGTGGGGGGTGGGAGTTGGGTGAGATACTAATTTCCTAGGGCTACTCTAGGAAGCACCATGAACTGGGTGGCTTAAAACAACTGTAATTTATTTTTTCACCATTCAGGAGTCTAGAAGCCTGAAATCTAGGTGTCAGCAGGGTCAGTTCCTTCTGGAGGCTCTGAAGGAGAATCTGCTCATGTCTCTCTCCTGGGTTCTGGTGGTTGCCAGCAACCCTTGGCTCGTAGCGGCATCTCTCCACTCTCTCCCTCCATCATCACCTGGCCTTCTCCCTGTGTGTTGCTCTGTGTTTTCACATACCTTCTGACAAGGACATCACTTATTGGATTGAGAGCCCACTGTAATCTGGTTTGACCTCATTCTGGTGAATTACATCTGTAAAATTCCTGTTTTTAAATATTGAAGGTCATATTCTGAGGTTCCACATGGACATGAATTTTGGAGGCACACTATACAGCCCAATAGAGGGGAATAACAATCAACTGTGGGATTGATGATGATAAACCATAAAACCACAGTGTCCAGCAACCACTCAGAGAACTACTTCAGAATTTCTGATGGCAAGAGAATCTTCCTCAGGTTCTTGAATCATTTTGAAATTTTTCTTTTAAAAATCCATTATATAATAATGATTATGCATTACAAAGTCCTAATAGTGGTTGAGAATCTGTTTATAGCAGTTTATTTCTGTTTGTAAAACTATACACATTCTTTGCTTAGTCGCTCAATCATGTCTGACTCTTTGTGACCCCATGGATTGTAACCCACCAGGCTCCTCTGTCCATGGGGATCCTCCAGGCAAGAATACTGGAGTGTGTTGCCATGCCCTCCTCCAGGGAATCTTCCCAACCCAGGGATCAGACCCAGGTTTCCCTCATTGCAGGCAGATTCTTTACTGACTAAGCCACCAGGGAAACCAAAGAAGACTGGAGTGGTAGCCTATCCCTTCTCCAGGGGATCTGCCTAACCCAGGAATAGAACCGGGGTCTCCTGCATAAAGAATCCAATGGATTCTTTACCAGCTGAGCTACCAGGGAAGCCCAAAACTATATATATATACATATATATATATATATATATATATATATATATATGTATATATATATGTGTGTGTGTAGCTATTGATAGTGGCTATATAATTTTATAGATAGATAGATAGATAAAATTTGTCCAAGTCTTTCCCAAAACTCAGGACAGGGCATCTCTCCTAAGACAGCAGAGAGGACCTGCATGATGTGGTCTGTGAAGCTGGTCCCCAAGGCAGAGAAACAAGTAGAGCTCCCCTGTCCCCACACGTCGTCCCCACATGAAATAATTCTGCTATGGAGCCTGTACAGTAAAATAATGAATCATCTCAGAAAGACTACATATCTAAGTGGATGGGCATACTGAGAGAGAAGACATAAGACTGAGACCAACGGCCCCCATCTAGCCAGGAAGCTGAAGCCAGAAGGGAGGGAAGATAGGCTGTAAAATTTGAGGAGTTCTAGAAGCTTATAAACCTCTCCTAAGGCAGATAAGGAAACAGGCAGCCAATCCACCCTTACTAGAGCCAAAAGTCTTTGTTTAAATGTGTGAAGCTAAATACCCTAAAATCTTTTTTGCTGGTCAATCACATTAAAATTCATCCAAAATTTCCACATATATGGGTTCTAACCTGAGAGCACAAAGAGGAAAATGACCATATTCAGGAAAGAGATTTTACCAAAATTCTACCATTTCTTGTAACAGAAAGTCATGGGTCCGTTTACTGTAAAGCTAATCTTCCCAAAAGCCCATTGCTGTGGAGCAGCACCCTCTGGAGCAGGCAACCCTGGGGTCCAACTTAGAAAGAGGGAACTGCAGGATGCCCGAGGCAGGTGCTGGCTCCCTAGTGAGTCCAGAGAGCAGAGGATTCTCAGGTCTGTCTTGGGGGAGAGCAGTACTGGGTCATGGCAAGGGACACCTGAGGATTTGGGCTCTAGGTCTGGGAAGGTCAAGAGATGGCTCTTCAGAGTCTGGCCTTGTGGAAGGTCAAAGCTCAGTTCAGTTCAGTTCAGCCACTCAGTCGCGTCCGACTCTTCGTGACCCCATGGACTGCAGCACGCCAGGCTTCCCTGTCCATCACCAACTCCCAGGGTCCACTCAAACTCATGTCCATCAAACTCATGATGCCATCCAACCATCTCATCCTCTGGCGTCCCCTTCTCCCCCCACCTTCAATCTTTCGCAGCTTCAGGGTCTTTTCAGATGAGTCAGTTCATTGCATGAGGTGGCCAAAGTATTGGAATTTCAAAGCTGGGTGATGCCATAAGCAAGCGGCGCCCATCAGGACAGCCTCCCCTTAGATGACAAGGACTAGTCCCCTCGATGCTCCTACTATATGCCAAGCCCAGGAGGCACCTGCCTCCTACAGCCCTCACAGAGAGCTTGTGAGAAATGCTCTTCCCACCCCATCTGTACCAGAGGGAGGATAATAAAACCTCAGCTATCATGGAGAGCAAATGAATTTACTTAAGGACCCAGCACAGTTCCTGACCCAGCTCATATGATTTATTCTCTCCACCTGCCAGTCATCAGGCTGAACTGTTTCCATCCGCTTCATCCCTTCTGGCCAAGACTTGGCCCCAGAGGATGTGAAGCCACAGAGCTCCCCGCCTGCCGGGGCGCTGCAGGGTTCTCTGGGGAGTGGCAGCCCCAGGCCTGGCTAGCAGCCCTGTCGATCAGAAAAGAGAGGTAACGTGTAGGCAGGCGAAGAAAGAGAGGGAGGAGAGGGGAGAATGGGTACCTTCTCCCACTTGGCAGTTCAGCCAGGGATCAGCCTTCCCTGGGCCCCAGCCCCCAAGACCCTGGCGCAGCATCTCAGGATGCAGACTGGATCACCAGGTCTGCGAGCTTTGATCTCTCAGGTTCCAAACACTCACCTCCTCCCTAGTCGTCCTCAGATCCCTAAGACTTGCTCTTAACAACCCAGTGTGACGTCATTTGGGCCGCACATGCAGTGACACTCTCCTCTCACACATCCCCACGCTGCCCAGCAGGCCCAGCCACAGCCCAGCCGACCTGTCATCTTCATGGACACACACACTCACATGCAGGGCACACTCACACTCACAACCAGGCACCCACACATTCACACATTCACAACCACACATACACACGTACCACACACAACCACATACTACACACTCATACAACCATACACTCACAACCACACACCACACACAACCATACACACACACTCATAGCCACGACCACACACCACACACAATCGCAAACCACACACAACTACATGCCACACATGCAAACACTCAGAGCCACTCACTCACAACCACAAACCACACACAATCGCATATCCCACACAACCACATACCGCCCACTCACACATTCACAACCACACACCACACACAATCACATACCACATATCACATACAACATAACACACACTCACAACTACACACCATACACTCACAACCACACACCCACACTCCAACATCACATGTAAAACACTGCCGTATCACTCCGCTGTCCCTCAGGCCCATATCCCAGTCACACACCACTCACGCGCGTACCCCTCAGTGTCACACCCACAGTCTCTCACACACACGTTTCATTCATTCACTTATTCCCTCTCCCCCCAAGGCACCCCAGGCCTCAGAGCCCAGCACGTGCCCGAGCCCAGGTGCGGCAGCCGTGTGGCTGGGAGGAGGCCTCCAAGCAGGGCGGCTGACGGGACAGCCTGGACAGTCTCCCGCCCTAACCGGAGCCTCGCAGCCGCCCTCCACACTTTGGTCAGGGGTGGTGGGAGGAAGTCACAAGAGCCGCTGCTCGGGGCTGCGGGGGCGCAGAACCCCGCCACCCACACTTCCTTTGCACCTGTTGCGAGTCTCACACTCCACTTCCACTGCGGATGCTGTCGCTTGTGTTCTGATGAGCCTGTGACAGACCCGAGGTGTGGGGGCCGGTGGGGGTCTGGAGGACCCTCCCAGAAAGGCGTGGGGACAGTCTGAGTCCCCTGGGCGCCCAGGAGGTCGTCGCGCCTGGAGGTGGGGACACTGGGAACTGAGCTATGGACAGCCTCCAGGGATGAAGCCAGGGAACCCTCTGACCAGCAGCGCCCTCCCAGGCCTCGCATGAGGGACTCTAAAGACACCCACATGGCCATGGCTTCTGCAGGGAGGGCCTCAGGGACTCCGTGGAAGGGGGGAAGGTGGGCACCACCCCCACTTCATCCAAAAGAGGACCGAGGCCCGGGCCTGAAAGCGCCGAGCCAGGACCTTCTGACTGGAGCTTCTGACGGCCCGCACTTCTGACTGGAGCCCGAAGTTCCTCCCAGGATGCCTCGCGGCTGAAGCCAGAGCGCCCTCCTGGGCGCGACCTCGGAGCATCCGGGTCCTGAGAGACTGCTCTGCCAGGCGGCTCTGCCGTTAGGCGGGCTTGCTGCGTGACCTGTCTACAAGCCGGGGATCATCCAGTCCCATCTTCATTTTCTAGATAAAGAAATGGGGGCTCAAAGGAAGGCAGTGAGTTGCTCAAAATCCACATTTAATATTCCTCCATAGTAGGTCTCCCAAAAGAAAGAAAGAAAGGTGAAAGAAAGGGAAGTCGCTCAGTCGTGTGCAACTCTTTGCGACCCTGTGGACTGTAGCCTACCAGGCTCCTCCGCCCATGGGATTTTTCCAGGCAAAAGTACTGGAGAGGGTTGCCATTTCCTTCTCCAGGGGATCTTCCCGACCTAGGGATCGAACCTGGGTCCCTCACGTTGCAAGCAGATGCTTTATCTCTGAGCCACCAGGTCTCCCAAAGCATTTATCAAATGCGTTCAAGGGCTACCACCAGCACCTTCTGACTTCAGGCCCAAGCTTCTGTCCCTACAGCCGTCCTCAGAGGAAGAAAATTGGCAAGAAGGCTCTTTCATGCTGAGGTCAGGCATAAAGTAAATAACTCTGGCTCACATAAACCAGAAGAAGCATGGGAGGACCCGCCAAGGCATAGAAATATGAGGCCTGTTAGTTTCTAACAGTCTTTATTAATAGAAGTTGCCTCGAGGCACTTTGAACCCTGGGGACCCATTCTCACCCAACACAGAATGTTTTCTCAGTTCCCAACTTCCTCTGCGGTTTGCCGGTATTTTCTTTTTCAGTCTAAAACTAGTAAGCAAACAAGATAAGTTGTCATTTCCTCATTTCCAAGCCCCACTCCTCGTGGGGGCCCAGAAATCTCTTTCAAGCATCAGACGGTGCAGGGCTCCTGGGTGAGCAGCAGGCCTCTGTCCCCCTCTTTGGGTGCCCTTGGATGGGACCTTGCTCTGGAAGGGGCCATGGACCTGTGGCTTTGGGTGCTTTACTTCCTTCCAGGTAAGTGCTCTGGAAAAACACCTTTGGACGCCGCACGAGGACTGAATCGGTCACAGTAGGGGAGGGGTTGGGCATCTCCAGCTCTGAAGCTTCTGGATGGATTTAGTTGTAAACCAGTACCTGGGGCAGGACAAGGCTGCAGGCCCTCCCAGCTCCCAGCTAGCAGCCCTCCCTCCTCTCCAGACATGCCTCCTGCCCCTCAGGTGTTGACTCACAGGCTGAAAGTGTCCCCTCTCCCCGGTCTCTCAGCCTGCTAATCTGGGATTTAAAAGCAAGTGCCTCCAGCGTTCTCTCTTCTTACCTCTACATTCTTCCTTTGGTTCTCTTATCTCCTGAATTTTCAAATTTCCAATCGAAGACTCCCTGGCCCATTTGGCAGGGCTACTTCCTCAGGTAGCTCAAACGGTAAAGCATCTGCCTGCAATGCGCTAGATCTGGGTTTGATCCCTGGGTTGGGAAGATCCCCTGGAGAAGGAAATGGCAACCCACTCCAGTATTCTTGCCTGGAGAATCCCGTGGACAGAGGAGCCTAATGGGCTACAGTCCATGGGGTCACAAAGAGTCAGACACGACTGAGTGGCTAACACTTTCAGTTCATTTCCAGAGCTTCATATCTTAATTTACAACCATCTCTTGGGCACCCTGCACTTCCACATCTCATCAAGGTCAAAAATACAACCAGCCTGACATCTAACCTCAGATTTCTCACTGGTCACCACCTAAATCAGCTACTCTGTCTTCACTATCTATGATATCAGCTGCAAAATGCCAAAATAGCTTTTTACCCACCTCTCCCCATTAACCCACAACTACACTTTAACCCAACTGATGGCCAATTCGTGTAGTTTCTAGATTCACACTTACCAGGATAGGAAGAAATGGCAGCCTCTGCTAGAGACAGAACAGAGGAGTGAAAAGAAAAGGAACAAAGGAACAGCTCTTAACTACCTCTCTACTTTCTGCAACCCGACAGCCTGTGGCTCCAGATCCACCGTACTACTTGCCTCTGATCATAGCATCATCCTTCCCTACAACCTTCCACACCTCCTACTGCCAACTGAACCAAACTCCTGAAGTACCAACTCCTTCCTTGGCCTCCGTTTTCACACGCTGAGCTTATCATTCTCCCCAGGACCTTCCTAACCTCCAGCCAGCAAAGCTCCCTGCTGAACTTCCCTCCCACCATGCCCTTGCTCCTGCCGTTCCTTCTGCCAGGAACATCCTTCCCCTCACCTCCACCACCGATGCGGCCCTTCAAGCCCATCCATCTCAACTCCACCTCCTTCTCTACATTTTCTAGAGCCCCTTCTCTTGAACCTCAATATTTTATTGATTCAGTGGTAAGTTTTTTGGGGGTCAGAGTAGTTGTTTATTCATACTTGCTTTCTTTGTGACTATTCTTCCAGAAGGGTCCTTGCTCTGGGCTTCGTTCTTCTCCACTGGTGCCAGTCCCCATGGGGTGAGGAGTTCAAGACCCGAAAGGATGTGCTTACCCCAAGCCCACATCCACACCCCCTCTGCTAGACCTCAAATTCCCTGTCCAAGTGACTCTGAATCCACCTTCGGCGACTCTGCAACACTACCCTGGGTCTTCTATCCTAGGGTTGTCGCCTGGCCTATAAAAGGGTGGCTTCAGGTGGCTGTTTGGGAAGGAGATGGGATTTATACATGCAAGCTGGGTCATCCACCATGCATGTGCCAGGACTGCTGTGGAGTGGGCGGGGCTAGGGATGAGAACTGAAGGGAGAGGGGCCAGAAGCGGGAGGCAGAAAACATGGGGCCATTTTCCCCTGCACAGCATGTGTGGGAATGGACATCCCAGGAGTGCGTAAATTTGTCAAGATGTTGGAGAGTCCCGGGGACGGAGGAGCCTGGTGGGCGACAGTCCGTGGAGTTGCAAAGACTCGGACACGATTGAGCAACTTAACAACAGCAACAGTTTATTAGCCTGGTGATTAACTTTAAACTATTCAGACTATGATATTTAGGTCTTATTTGTATTCCTGCCCCAGGTCCTGCAAATATGGGGGTGGCCCTGGTCCCAGAACCCAGTGCATGAGGCACGAACTACAGGCCACGTCACTTGGGGCCTGAGGTGGAGGTCCACAGTAAAGCAAGGCAGTAGGGTAGGATGTAGGCTTTCAAACCGTTTTTACCTTGCTCTATAATAATAAAAATGCACACACTTGATGCTGTGACAGACTACACATACACACACCTAAAACTTACCCTTAATTCTTTAATATGAGGATGACTCTGGGGCTTCAACACTTGGATGGATGTTGACGCTTTTTTCGGAAATAGGAAGAGCTTATAAAGCAACAGGATTTGGAGGAAAAATCAAGAGGTTTTTTTTTTTTTTCCTTGTACCACTGTAAGTGTGCAATATATCTTAGCTGTCTGAGTTAAATCCAAGTGGAGGGACCCAAAAGGCAAGTCTGGAGCTCAGAGGTACAGACAAAGCTGGAGATCCACACAGTGCTGAGATCTACACAGAGTTGGCACTAAAAACCATGGGAGTCAATGAGCTCTTGGGGGGAGACCTAGGGGAACAGAGGAGAGGACAGGCCCGGGGCCAGGCCCTGGGGTGGCGCAGAACTGAGAGAGGAAGAGCCGTGCATAAGGAAGGAGGCAAAGAAGTAAGTGAGGAAGAGAAGTAAGTGAACAGATAAGGAGAAGCAAGGAAATGGCAAAGAACAGCCACTGAAAGAGTGATGTCAGGGAAGCCAAGAAAGAATTTCCAGGCAGAAAGGCTCTATCCCACCAAATGCTGCCAAGAGGATGAGAAAAAAAAAAAGAAGACAAAGAAGTGACCATCCAATGTGGCAACAAGGAAAGTTTTGGTGACCTTGACTGGCGCAGTATCAGTGGAATATTGGAGACAAAATTCTGACAGATGTAGATGGAAAAGGAACTAGGAGACAGGTTGGATTCAGTGGTTTTGAGAAAGAGAACAGGAGAGGGGTGGTTGCAGCTGAAGGGGAGGGGGAGTGTCGGCTGAGGGGTTTTCCAATATGGGCATTATCATCAGGGCATATTTGTGAGCTGTGTTGATGCTGGAAGAGAGGAACCAGCGAGGCAGGCAGAGAAAGGGGGTGATTGCAGGAGAGGACTCAGGGGACGGACTCAGGAGACAGGGGAAAGGACTGGCTTTTTAGAGACAGCAGATGCTCCTTTCACAGCAACTGGACCGAGGCAGACAGCAGGCCTGGACATGCACAAGTCAGTGTGTGCAGAAGTGGGAAGCCGCTTGGGATGGTTCTCATCTTTTTTTTTTAAGAGCCCTGCTCCATCTAAAGCTCTCAGGTCAGCTTCCTTCTTCCAGAGATCCTGCTGTGACTGGAGTCGATAGGGTCCTCATCACCTCTCCTGCCTAGAAAATCACCCCCATGCAAAATCCAGTCTATTCCCAGAGCACAGCCACAGCCAAGGCCTTGGGGCCTAAACCTTATTTTGTATTTCAAAAACAAGATTTTTTTCCATGTTTCAAAGATATGCTGTGCTGTACTTAGTTGTTCAGTCATGTCTGACTCTTTGCAACCCCGTGGACTGTACCCTGCCAGGCTCCTCTGTCCATGGGGATTCTCCAGGCAAGAATACTGGAATGGGTTGAGTGGGTTGCCATGTACTCCTCCAGGGGATCTTCCCAACCCAGGGATGGAACTCAGGTCTTCCCCATTGCAGGTGGATTCTTTACCAACCGAGCCAGCAAGGAAGCCCAAGAATACTGGAGTGGGTAGCCCATCCCTTCTCCAGGGGATCCTCCCAACCCAGGAATCAAACCGGGGTCTCCTGCATTGCAGTTGGATTCTTTACCAGCTGAGCTACCAGGGAAGCCCATTTCAAACATATGTTTATATCCAATTACATGTTGAGAGTGACTTTTTATACCACATATATCCCTTTCCCCTACCATCACCACTGAAAATCAAATCACTGATTCCGAGATTAATGACACATCACAGTTTCTCTAAACCATCAACATTAAACAGGTTGATACCTTTATATCTACTTCTACTCCTCCCTTTCTTCCCTAGAATCATCTGGAAATGTAATCATGGGGCTCAAAATTGCAAAAATTCAAGGGCACCTGGGTTGCTTACCTAAAAATGCAGATTCGTAAGCAGATATACTCAGCCATTCTAAGCAGATATAATCACCTTGCTGAAGGGCAGGACCAGGTCATCTGCATCCTAGCAAGTTCCTCCACAGGAGTCTTATGTACACTGTGCCTAAGTTCCAAACCTGGGGGTTGTATCCATCTTTTTTTCTATTTGGGAAGTCTGCCTGTGGTTAGAAGCTATTATGAACTCCAAGGAGAGCAGAATCTGGTCATTTTCACCTTGCCCATGAATGCTTCCCTGGGACCAGGGCTCAGTGAACCCAGCAGCTTTCCTTGTGCTTCATCCATCCGACGTTTGCACACTAAGGATGTCCCCGTCAGCACTGGTTGCTGTAACAAAGTGTCATAGATCGAGTGGCTTCCATAATAGACATTTATTTCTCACAATTCAGGGAACCACAAGTCCTAGATCAGGGTGCTGGCACATACGGTTTTTGCGAGGGCCCTCTTCCTGGTTTGCAGAAGGCTGCCATCTCCCTCTGTGCTCCCGTGCTCCTATGTGAATAGAATAAGGACACCAACATTTTGAGGGCTGCAGCCCCATAACCTCATCTAACCCTCCCTGACTCCAAAGGCCCCACTCTTACACAGGAGCTTCAGCACATGAGTTTGGGGCAATACAAACATACAGTCCGTAATGTAGGACCTGGGCAAGCCTGAGGGTGACCCGCAGTGCCCCCCAGGGTAGAGAGAGGCCACTGGACGTGTCCGCGTGTCATGACGCCTCTCGGCTCTGCCTTGCTCCGCCCATTTTACAGCACCTCACCCTTGAGGAGGCAGCCAGCGTGCCCTTGGCTGAGTTGGTCTGGAAACGTTTGCGTGCCCCCTCTCAGGTGCTGAGCTTTGCACACAGGTGTGTGTGGTCCCTCTGGACACACAGGGGATTCCCCCAGCCCCTTAGTTGGGTCTTTGTCCTTTGAACGGGTCACAACCTTCCGTTGGCATGTTCCAGTCACAGGGCTGCCTCCCTCATCTCAGTTTCCAGGGTGTTTAAAGCAGAGGTGGGTGATTGGCGTGAGGGCCTTCGCATCAGCTCACACGTGTCTGGCAGCCCCCTCTGCTCCTCCCTGCTGTGCTCACCAGCTGCACATCCAGATACTAACGAACTCCCGTGAACGCTCCCCTGGTAGCCCTTCTCTAGCTTCCTGCACCCCGTCTCATGCTCTCATGGTTGTTTCCTCCTCTCTCGGGGTATCCCCATCCTTCCCTCCCCCCAGAATGTCCTCCTCAGCGCAACTAGAAGCCTGCAGCCCCACTTCTTCCCCTGACTCTGCGGAGCGATTCTAAATGTGTGCTCTGCAGATGAATTTCCAGAAGCTTTCGAACATCCCTCCCCTCCCCATGAACGCGCCGTGGCCTCTCTCCTCTCTCAGGCTAGGGCCAATTCTCACTGTCTAGAAGGGTTTCTCCTTCACCCCAGTCCCCCCAGCCTCACCCCAACACACACAGTCCATCCTCTGAATCGTCTTCCCAGAAATATACGGACGCTTGTTGGATCCACTTAGTTGACAATCATAGCCGGCCTTACCCTGTTCTCCAGCTTAGACCCATCTTCTCTCCACTGCGCATAAGCTTACTGATGTCAGGGACTCAGGAACCACACTTTTCACTCCTCCCTGCTCCACACCAGCCCCAAGGCACATACTAGGTGTGCACACACTCAAACACACTCTCGTTTCCCTCTGTATTCCCTCCTTCGGTGAGGATGACCATCATTCTCTTAGCCCTCCACACCCAATCCTTCAGGCCACAGCTTACACATCCCTTCTGCCAGAAAGCCTTCCTCAAACTCCCTTCCGTGGCAGCCTGGATCAGGCATTCTGCTTGCTGCTTCCAAGGATCCCTGTGTATCCACGCCATGGGATTTATTACACTTTGCTGTAGTGGCCATCGATTTGTATCACTCAGTAAGTGACTCATCCTGTGAGGGAGAGATGTCAGCTAGCTTGTCACATGAACGTGATTCAGTAGATACCTGTTAATGATTGAATTTAAAAAACAACTGGAGGGGAAAGAGTTGTTTTGGTTGGATGGATCCAAGCGAAACAAAACTAGACAGAAGAACCTGTTGCAGTGAATTTCACCATGCCTCCTGGCACCACAGTGAAGTCACTCTGGGGCCATGTGCTGGTTGGGGGGAGTTCACCATGGCACCTCCCCTGGAGTGGGGTGGACATTTTTACTAGATTCTCAGGGGGTTGGTGTCTGGGTCCATAGAGGTTCAGGTCTGATGATAAGCCAGAGGGCTACATGATGTCTTGGGCTGGGGAGAGACTGAGCTTCAGGCGTAGAGCTAGGGACAGACCAAGGAGGTTAACAGGGTTGAGGATGGAAAGAGGCTGTGGGTGCAGCTAGAGCTAGACATCAGGGAGGCGCAGGCTGCTCACAGGGATGGAGCTGGATGCAGGGATGAGTTTGAGGTTGCGCTGGGGCCCAGGTTGGAAACAGGGCTGTGTTGGGGACAGGGCTGGGGATGGGGCTTCCTCTCACTAACTCCCGCTTCCTGCAGTAGTCGGAGCCCTGAAGGTCCTTCCAGAAGTGAAGATGGAGGGAATGCTGGGAGGGTCAGTTACCATCGAGTGCCCACTTCCTGAAACGCATGTGAGGACATACCTGTGCCGGACCATTGGCGAGTCTGGAAGATGCACCACCGTGGTGTCCAGCAGCAAATTCGTCAGGGAGGAATTCAAGCACCGAGTCACCTTGGAGCAGCATCCGGACAGGAATCTGTTCCTGGTGGAAATGACGGAGCTGGCCAAGAGCGACAGTGGGATCTATGCCTGTGGGGTGGGCCTGAACACAGACCAAGGCAAGACCCAGCAGATCACCCTGACTGTTCACAGCGGTAGGTGCCCCACTCAATGGAGGCTCAGGACACCCAGGAAACACTGCCACTTGGGAAGGCTGGGACAAGCATGGGGCCGCAGCAGTCCCCACACCCTAACACTGCTGCCCTACTAGCTAGTCCAGTAGAAATTGGGATCCATGGGGCTGTAACCGCATAGAGTCATTGAACTTCATGATCCACCGTATTCTCTATCCAAGCCATAAGAAAGGAACAGGATCGGTGCGCCCCCGGGGCACCGCGCCCACCCTTCCCGGGTCACGAGCCAAGTGGGGGGTGGGAGTGAAATTGAGAAGAGGCGCTGAGACTGGAGGAAACTGGAAGCAAAAGGACATAAGCAGCCCCATAATTGTCCCATGAGAAATATCAGGGATAAATGTAAAGCAAAGACAATCATTTCTCAAGCCACAGTTGATGGCCAAATTTGTTACTTTATACGATCCTTTCCTTGTCGCTCCAGAATCCCACCTTTCTCCTTTCTTTCTCCACTGACTTCCTCAGACATACACAGTACTCACTCAATAATCTAGGTTCCCAATGCTCTCTGATTCTGCAGAGAATGCCCACTGCGTTAGGGTGAAAGAGTATTTTTTTCCAGGGAAGACCCCCAGCTCAGTTACTTTTCTGCTCCTCTCGTGGGCACCACGTCTGCATCCCCTTATTGCTGTCTACCCTGGCTGAGTCAGCCTCAACTCAGGCCAGCAGTCCCTCCCCCGGGCCTCAGGCAGACGCCGGAGACCACCAATGGGCTTCTCTTGCCTTTGGTAGTTTACAAGCCATCCTGGGAAGAAGCACCGACGCCTGAGCCTCCAGCATGGTTTCATAGGTTTCTACAAATGCACATGCCTCCTTGGTTCCAGATGCCTGCATATGCCAGTTCTTTAGAATTCATATCCAAAGGTCAGTTCCCCAAAGCTAGGGCTGGGGGAGTGGGGGGGGGATATTCTATACTATTGTGAAAGTGGATGAGGGGATATGTGTTCAGTTCATACAGTGGTTGGCAGAGCAGAGCTGAGTCTCACGTGTGTATTTCCCTGTCTTGGGAGAGGGACCCTCCTTGAGATCTGCATCCCAAGACTTTCCAACCCATCCCTCAGCCGCTTGGCACTAGTTGCAGTACTTACGTATCACCGCCAGGTGGCGCCAAGCATAATGAATAAAGTTAATGCTCCATTCACAAAATCTAGCTCTTCTCTGAATGACTAGGAAACCATGACTAGGCAGACGCTTCCCAGCCAGAAGTCCTCCTGCCTTCTGCTCCCCATAGGGCTATCTTCCATTTGATGGCAGACAGTTATTTAGCAGCTCTATTTTGTGACAATAAGATTAATAATAATTATGATACTTCTATACTTCTATCACTTTTCTGTCTTGAATGCATTTTGACATACAATGTTTCCACCATATCCTCACATGTTCCCATTAGTTGAATATTGTTACACAGGAGGACTCTTCTGGCCCTTGAGAGGGGAATAATGTCACTGAGCTCATTATATACTCAAGGTTGTGACTGGCAGGTGTGGAATGGGGGAGAATAGACAAACACATAGATACAAGTCAGGGTGGGAATTGAACTACAATCAAGGTTTCCTCCATGGTTAAGAGAAGGGAAAGCTCTTCTGCCTGGGAAGCCAGGGAAGACTTTCTGTAGGAAATGGAGGTTGAAGCAAATACAGACAAAAGGGACTAAGTGTAGATGGCATATTCAGAAGGCATTTCAGACAATGTGGACTGCAAGAACAAAAGTAGTCTACCTAAAAGGGAAGAATGTGTTCAGGAAAGAAATGGTTGACCCAAGGCTACTGGAGACTAGAGTGTGGCTATGGAAGGTCATTTTTTCCTGCTCTGTCCTGCAGTAACCACACCAGCTCAAAGGACCGACTCTCCTCAAGCACACCAGGCCTCCCCCACCCCCTCAGTCACCCACAGCCCCAGAGTTTCCAGGGCATCTTCAGTGGCAACTGCAGAGCCCACCATCTTCCTGCCATCCATCACAACCTCAAAAACCTCAGCTCGGAAGGGGCTGCTCAGGCTCCAGACGGCCAGCTACAACCACCAAACCTGGCTTCACAGACAGAGGTAAGATGCCTCCAGCATCCAGGATGAGCTAAAACTGTACAAAGGAGACTAGAGTTAGGAGATCACTGACATCTCCCCAAAATGTCTACCAACAGATACCTTTCTTGGCTTTGTCTCTAGAAGTCACTGTGAAAGATAGTATAGCTGTATTTATTATAGCTATACTAGTGTTATAGCTACAACATTAACTCATTGGTCCTGTTAACAAGAATACACTTATCAGTGCTCCAGCAGGAGATCTTGTAGAGATGAGATGAAGATCTTTCAGTCATTCAACATTTATGCAAATCTCTTTTTATGGGGAAGAACTAAATGAATATAAAATTAGCCACTAAACCATCAATAACTTAAAAGTTACTTTTGCATGTTTCCTTTTACTTTTTCAATTGGCTACTAGGAAATTTTAAGTTACGTGTGAGGCTGGGACTACATTTCTGTTGGCCTGCTCTCATCTAATGGATGGGGTGCAGCCCAGGAAAGTGCTGCTATCGACCACTAGGGGGCAGCATTAGAGCAGATTCCAAAGAAAACCAGTAATACTGGCGAATTATTTTTTGCCAAAACAAATAGAAGGGGCTTCCCAGGTGGCTCAGTGGTAAAGAATTGGCCAGCCAATGTAGGAGACAGGAGATGTAGGTTCTATCCCTGAGTCAGGAAGATTCCCTGGAGGAGAAAATGGGAACCTGCTCCAGTATTCTTGCCTGGAAAATCCCATGGACAGAGGCACCTGATAGGCTACAGTCCATGGGGTTGCAAAGAGTCAGACTCAACTGAGCAATTAAGCACACACAAACAAAGGCAAACGTGAGCGAAGAAAGGCATTTCTGACATCATTTGGGTCTTACAATTAGGAAATTGAGCCCATGAGAGCAAAGTGGTTACAAACAGAACCAGGACTTCTGATTCCTAGTCTATTAAACCATAACAACCTACTAGTGGAGACGAATTCAGATTAACTCAACCAACATGTCCTTAAATCTGCACTATATGCCAGGCATTGTCCTGAAGATGTTGAAAAGTTTAAAAACAGGCGATATCTAGGTGTTATTTTACTAATACTAGTCTTGATTGTGATAAGTGTTGTAACTGGTATGAACAGAGGAAGTGGTGACACAGAGAAAAAGTTGATTCTAGTTTACCACTACTGGAGAAGAAAACGAGGACTTATGTAATGGACAAGGAAAGTAAGATTTCAACATGTAGAGAAAATGGAGGGAAGAACTTCTAGGCAAAGGGAGCACCATCCTCTCTTCCATAGTTATCAGAAACTAACTCATTAAAAATCTGCAATCATTTTGTGAAGAAACTGAGGTGCAGAGAGCTGGAAGTGGAACTGACTTTTGATTGCTGCTTAGGTCAGCTACATTAAGGTCTTTATAGCCACTATTTTATTTCATCCTTAAACTGTTCTGTGAAACAGGTTTTACTGTAACCACTTACTGGGAAATGAGGCTCAGAGAAGTTAGGAAACTGATTCAAGATCACACAGCCAGGAAGCTAAACTTGAACTTTAATCCAGGTTTCCTGCAGCGGGTGGGGGTAGGGGAGGGGGTGAAGTGAGAATTCTCTTATCAAAGGGACAAATCTGTGACCCGCCTTCAAAAGCTGGCCCCTGTGGGGGGGACCTTAAGTCCCCCCACCTTTCTGACCTCACCTTCCGCTCCCTGCTCCTCCCCTCCTCAGAGCCTCCAACCAAGGCCCGGGCACTGTGTCTGGGATAGAAGACCAAGGTGTCTTCGTCCTGATCCCCACCATCCTGGGTCTCATACTCCTGGCGCTTCTGGGGCTGCTGGTGAAAAGGATCGTTCAAAGACGGAAAGGTGAGTGGGTTAGGCGCAGCAACGGAGCGCCCAAAGCATCCAGCTCCCCAGGGACACTCAGGAGCTTTGGATGAGCACGCTGAGTTTGGGGGTACTTGGGATGCGGCTCGGTGGTCTGGACATGGGGACGGTGGGGAGCGCGGCCCGGACCCTGCAGAGAAGGCCAGCCTGTGCCACATCCGAGCGGAGCACCCTCAGGTCAGACGCTGCCAAACAGCGGGGAGGGGACCGTCTTTAGTTTGCTGTAAGACTGGGCTAGTGCGGGCCTCTGACACCCTCCTTCCTCTTTCTGTCCCTGCGGCTTGGTCGAGAAGCTCTCTTCAGGCGGGTCCGCCGACTGGCCGTGAGGATGCGCACGCTGGACGCCTCCCAGCCGGCCCTGTCCCGGCGGCCGCGCGTGTGCCGGCGGCCGCGCACCCCGAGCAATATCTACAGCGCCTGCCCTCGGCGGCCCCGCGGGGTGGACGCGGCTGGTGAGCCGGCGGGCAGGCGGGAGGAGGGCAGGGCTGGGCGTGCGGGCAGGCAGGTGGGAGAAGGTCGGCTTGTTGGGGCGCGAGAAGGGTCTGGAGGGGTGGGGTGGGGGGCGAGGGGGTTGGGGGCCGGGCGCGGCTGGAGGGGTGGGACGTGGGGTGGGGGGTGGGGTGGGGTGGGGTCGTGGGGGTCGGGGTCGGGAGGGGTGGGGTGGGGGCGAGGGGGTTGGGGGCGGGGTGGGGGGGTCGTAGGGGACGAGGCGGGGTGGGGGGGGCGGGGGCGGGGCTGGCGCGCGGTCTGGAGCCGCAGAAACTGCGGCTTCATTTTCTAAAGAAATGGAGACTCAAAGAAAGGCAGTGAATTGCTCATTTGAGTGAATTTGTCCTTTGCTTTATGTTTTATGTCAAAAAGACCTTGGATTGCTAGTCATTGATAGACGAACTAGATTTTGTGAATGGAGCATAAACTTCATTATGCGTGGCACCGCATAATGTAATATCTGGCAATATCTGTAGGTGCTCTAACCTGAGGTGGGGTGGGGTGGGGGCGGGGGTGATGAGGGTGGGGCGGGAGCGGGACGAAGGCGGTGGGGCGGGGCCGGGGCCGGCGCGCGAGCTGGAGCCGCAGAAACCACGCGGAGCAGAGTGCGAGCCGGGAGACCCGCGCCTCCAGGACAGCCGCGGCGCGGAGTGGGGCCCACCGCCCGGGGGCTTCCCGCAGAGCTGGGGGGGCGGGGCTGGGCCCTGGGCCCCGCCCTCATGCCGCCCTCCCCGCCCCCGTCAGGTGGAGGGGCGGCACCGCCCCCAGGCCCCGAAGCGCCCGCAGCCTCCGCCCCGCCTCAGATAAGCCCCGCCCCGTCGCAGGTAAGCCCCGCCCCGCCGTGGGTAAGACCCGCCCCCCAGCCGCGGGTAAGCCCCGCCCGCCGCTGGTTAGCCCAGCACCGCCGCAGGTAAGCCCCGCCCTGCCCCTGATTGGCAGCTACAGCTCGAAAGGGCGGGCCCAGATCTGGGCGTGGCCCCGCGCGACAGGTGCGGAGCCTCGTCCCAACCGCTGGCGGTCCCTGCGTCGGGGAGTGAGTACCCGTTTCCTCCTTGGACTGTGCCCGTAGACGACTACCCAGCAACTGTGGTAGAGTTAGTTACCTGGCTTCTGGCCAAGTATTTCTCGTGGGATAAATGGGAGTTTAAGTAGAGGATGCTAGATGACGACTGTACAGATTCGGGAAGGGCTTTCCTATGTAAGAGATTAAGCTTCTAGTGAGTCTTAAGAGGGTGGAAGTTACCCCGTTTCATCTGAGGAAGTACTTTCTAGTAAGCCCTCTAAGCTGAGAGGAGGTTGTTTACTGAAGGCAATTAAGCCTGGCCTAGAGACATAAATGGCCTTCCCTGGTGGTTCAGGTGGTAAAGAATTTGCCTTCAGTGCGGGAGACCTGGGTTCAGTCCCTCAGCTGGGAAGATCCCCTGGAGAAGGGAAAGCCTACCCACTCCAGTATTCTGGCCTGGAGAATTCCATGAACGGTACAGATAAGATTCAACACTCTGTGTGAGAAAGATTCCTCTTGGAATCTAGGTGTGGAGCAGGAAAGTCATCTTTTTTTCTCTCTCTCATTGATTCTATTGATGGCCATTGGCAGGTGTGTGAAAAAATGTTAAACTATTCATTCTCCTTTGTCTTCCCCAGTTAAGAAGAGAACATTTTATCTTCTAAAGCATCCACAGTAGCAGAAACATTATTGCTTCCAGAACCAGGAAAACTAAGTGTGGCAAATGTCCCTGATTTAATTAGGGTGTAGGCTAAACTGATGCAGCAAACGCCAAACCCCAGGGCTCACAAGATGGAAGCCTGTTTTCCTCACAAGTGAAGACGGAGCCAGGAGGAGGTGGCCTGAGCCATGGGGTCATCCGGTGCCTCAGATGCCTTCTGCCTGTTGCTCCGCCATCCCCTGGAGTCTCGCCTCATCCGTGGTTGGTGCTCAATCCCTAGCACCATGTGTGCATCCCAGCACATGGGAAGGAGAGAGAGAAAGTTGCTTTTTTAAGACCAGGAGCCTGACATTTCATTTATCAGAGGACCACGGGGCACACTTTAATCACATGGTCACACCGGCCTTCAAGGGAGGCTCAGAACTGTATTCCTGCGGGTCTTGCTTAAAAGGGGAGAGTGATGCCTGGGAACAGGCAGCAGCTCTGCCCCATCGGGCCCTGTGTTCAGCCCTGCTGGGGGGGGGCGGTTCTCGGTGGCGCAGGTAGGCCCAGCAGTGCCCGTCAGCTCTACCCTTTGTGGTCCAGTCACTAAGTCACATCTGACTCTGTGTGACCCTATGGACTGCAGCACACCAGTCTTCCCTGTCCTTCACTGTCTCCCGGAGTTGGCACAAACTCATGTCCACTGAGCCCTTTTCTCTGAAACTGTTCTGTGACCACACATGGCCTCATGTGGGCCTGTACCTTGCTCAAATTTTACCCTTCCTCCCTGCTTGAAATTCACGCTCCTGCTATCAGGGATAGAAAAAAATATTGATGAAACAAGTCCGCAACAAGGTGCCTATGATAAATGACTGAGAGCTGCCACATCACCCTTCACAGGGAGCAACTTTTTAAAAATGGTTAAGCCAGATCAGTTTCAAATGATGAACCGTAACAGGCAGTGGGAGATACATTCTTGAAGCAAGCTGCTGCCCATTCCCTCTCTGGTAAAGTACAGAAGGGAACGGCTCCTTTCGGTGAGCGCTTACTCAGTGCCTGCTCTGTGCAGGGGCTGAACTTATGGTTCTCAGTGGTTGTGTTTAAGATATGTGACTGTCCCTGCTGCAGCCTTCCTGGGTGGATGTCACAATAGTTATGCCACGTTGGGGTCATGGCATAGCCCTGCCCTCCGAGAACTGATCCATCCCAAAGGCAGATGATCCTGAAGTTTCTTTCCGGGGAAGTGGAGCTCCCCACAGCCTGCCACCTTCCTCCCCTTTAACTGCCCACTCCTTCCTGGAATGCACTGTCCCTTCACGTCACAGCCTCTCCAGGGAATGAAAGCCCTATGGAGGTGCAGAAGATGACTCATCCTCCTTCTGAATAATTCCCTGAGAAGATGCATATTTACTCTACAAGTCATATCATCTAATCCAGAGGGGAAACTCCTCTGGCAGCTGGTTTTCCTTCAGACCCATGCTTAGTCACATGATTTTTGTCTGAGCCCCATTTAAAACACTTCCTGCCATATTAGATCTAAGTGTTTTCCAGTTATGTAGAGCGTGAGGCACCACCCTGAAAATCCCAGGGCTGAGCACCTGATGGAACTCAACCACCTCTGCGTTTTGTCTTCTGGAGGACAGCAACCACATGCACCCCACAACCCCCACCCCACCATTGCCCACTGTGGATACTACAGTCACCCTACCCAAACCCAGTGATGCTTCTTTGGTCGTTCCCAGGTACCTGCAATTCCCTGGCCCCATGTCCCATCTCTGAAGATCGACTGTGAATATGTAAGCTTCTGCCACCAGCCTGCTGCCAAGGGAGAGGACATGGATTCCGATGACTACATCAATGTTCCCTGCCTGACTCACCTCTCCAGCTGTGCCCCTGGGCCCAGACCTTGGTGTCAATGAGTTTTGTCTGTCTGCTGGTTCCCAACACCCACTCCATCTGTTTTCAGAACCCTCATGACCTCCCGCACTCCACCTCAAGTCTCGTCCCTGCCTATTTGCCCTGAGCACAGATCAGTCTACCCCACTTCAGCTCTCCTTACACACTTTTGAGCCCCCGGTGGTTTTCAGGTGGCCTCTGGGAATGCAGAGCATTTGCCCTGTTGCCACCTGCCTCCTTTCCGAGCCATGTGACAGACTATGGACTTACAGAATCTTTTTGATCATAGGGTCCTTGCTCCCCTGGCTCTAGACCACATGGCCTTGGACTGGAGTGGAGGCATAGCTGTTGCTTTGAAAGCCCTTCTCAACCTTGAGTTCCCCACTAGCAGAAGGTACCTGGACTGCCCTGTGAAGACACGCTTCAGCCCTGAGCTAGGAAGGGACCTTGGTATGAAACACCCCTGAGAACCTCTTTGCCCCAGTCTTAGGGCTGGCACTTACTAGTGATCTTTGGAGTCCTATGGTGAGGACAGGTTATTTGGATGTGATGAAGGGTTGTAAATTTTCAGAACCATCCTTGTTAGTGTTAGTGACATATGTGGATACCCTCTCTAAGTCTTCATCCCTTGATCCATGTAAGAACCCTGACTCCAGCGTTTTCTCTCTCTCAGAAATGGAGTAGCTTTTGTTATCTATTTATCCTTGCTCCATAGCCTAGCACTGAAATGTGTGCATCTATCTTGGCCTTGGTCTATTTGAGCTATCCAAAGCCATTACAGCTCTCTGCTTTCAGAAATGCACCTCCTGTCTGTTCCAGTCCAAGTGGCTTATGGCCAGGTGGGCAAGGACAGTGATCTGGGACTCCTGGAGGGCCCATTGTCCTGCTAGAGCACAAGTCATGGAAGAAGAGACAGTGCACATCCTACATGTATTCATCCTCTTAAATGTTCTGAATGGGGGCAGAGTTAGGCAGACACTGTCTCTTTGGATTGAAATCAGAGTTCAACCAGAGCTAGAGATTAGAGGATGAGTAGTCTTGCTTTTAAGAAGAGGGCCTTTCCCAGACACACAACTCAGCCTCACGGGGCACTGGTCCAGTGCTAGGAAGCAAAGGCTCCCGAGGTCCCTGCCTTTTGAGCAGGGAGTGTCCTCACAGATGGGACAGTGCATCCAGGCATGAAGACAGCAGCTGCAGTGTCAGCTTGACACGGGCACCCCCAGGTGGGGGACAATTAAGATGAGTAGGATCAGAAGGAGCACCCGAGGGGCAGGGCTGGTGGGAGTGGGGTGGGAAGGGTGGACAGGAAAGGCAGTGTTGAGGGAGAGTCTACTCTGTGCTGGACACCCCTCTACATTTTATCTTTTAACATTTGCATTTCAAACCAGTGCTCTCACCCTCACCCCAGCGCTCTATTCCTGCAGATGTCATGACCATGTGATTTCCATGCCCTTAAGTTCAACTTCATATCCCAACATCCCTCATTGTTCCTCAGCAATTCAGAGACAGGTTTTTAAAAATCCAATTTATTAAGCATTTCCTGAGCACCCATCCACTACCCCACACAGTGGCGAGGATTGTGGGGGATAACAGAGAAACGTGGTCACTGTCGTTACTGCTTTCACAGAACTTTCAGTCTGACAAATAAATACAGCATCAGTTAAAACGCTGATGGGAATTAAATAGAGTTGTAATAAATAAAGGAATCTGCTTTGTAGATTATTCACAGCATCCAAGGGAACCTTCCATGACTGTTGTTGCAGTCACTTAAAGAATGAAGTCGTAAGCTTGGACGAAGAACAGGACCCGTGGTCAAGAGTGTGAAGTGCCCAGAGGACATCATGGGAAGGGACCCTCGTCTGAAATGACGCAGAGCAGAAAGAGGGTATCCTGGTCTCGGCCTTCAGAGCTGGTAGAATTTCTCCATCCAGCTCAAGAGAATGTCCATTTCTCCAAAGGCTTTGGTCACAGCTGCTTCTCTGTCCAACTAAAGGGAAAGGAAAGTTGAAGATCTGCCGTGTTAGCCACAGGAATAGGTTTCCTTCTGACCCCTGAACCTGGTACGACTGTAGATCATGGGCTGTGAACCCTTTAGGATGGCCTCTGACAAAGTCACCCACCCATCAGCTGTTCTCCGTGTGTGTTGTCTGCTTTGGAGGCGAGGACAGATGGGTTGGTGAGTGGCCGCAGATAAGGAGCAAGGGGAAAGCATTGTGAGTCCCTGACAAGAAGCATCGGAACCCCTGTGCAGGGTGGATTCCATCCACATGAGACCACTGTGCAGATGAGGAAATTGAGACCTGGGTGGTCCCTTTCCCTTCTATGTTATTGCTCTTCACCATTTGTTTTTAAACTGGTATATCTCTTCCTCAAAAAATGATCAAAATTGGATTGTTTGGGGGAGGGAGCTGGGGATGAAATTGGAATTTGATGAAATTGGAATTTGCTTTGTTGTCTTAATTTAGGAAAAGACAACATAATTCCCATAATTCTTTTTCACAAACTCGACCCTTTGAGCATCCTGGAAAATACTGCAGATGTGTGTTGGGGTTGGGGATTCTCCCTTCTTTCTCCCTCACTTTTGACTCACCAACTGCCCGCCTCAGGTACCCATAAAGCTGTCACTTTGGAATGTCCTTGCTAGTGACATCATCTTGTAGGGAAATAGAATAGCATTTTAACTTGAAAACTGGCAGAAAAATTGGCCCTGTCGTTAGCAGTGTTTATGCAAATTTTATGGTAACTAATGCAGCTATAGTATAGCTATGCTCCCGCTAAGTCAGGTGGCTCAGAGGCAAGCTGGGTGGAGTGCCCTACATTGAATTCTACATCAGGTCCCTGAGGAACCCTCGGACGACAGTTCAGGGTAGTCTTCTTCCAGATGGGCAACTGTCAGTTCCCGGCCTTGATTACCTGTTTAAATGCTCGGTGGAACAGCAAAAATCGCCTGCGTGCAGTCTCGCGGGTGGAAAACATCTTTTCCTGCTGGGTAACAGAAAAAGAAAATTGTGCCAAGTGTCAGATAGGAGCAGAGGTGCCTTCTCCCACTCTTTCCTAGTAATGCCAGAGGGACTCCTGAGGCCTAAGAGGGCAGCTCCAAATCTCACATCCCCAAGGCAGCCGATGCTGACCTCCCACCGTGCAGCGGAGACTGCCTCCTTTCATACGGTAGTCTTTCCAGGTACAGGTGATTATCAGCATTTTATAGATAAGAAAACCAAAGCCCAAAGTGATTGACCACTTTTGGGGTTTTAGTTTAGTTTTGTTTTGTTTTTTGGTCTCCCAATTTTTCTCTCAAAGGCATTTCAAATAAATAAAAGATTAATTGTTTGCAAAAAAAGATTGACCACCTTGCAAATGGACACCCAGTCCAGAGCCTGTGCCCTGTTCTATGACACCTGCAGCTCCCTGGCATGGAATAAAAGCCAGGGCCAGATAAGGGGAGGGAAAGGAGTCTTCTGAAAGCACAGAGTCTCCTGTGGACCTCCGTCCCAGCTTTGTTCTACTCACACTGGCTTGCAGTTTTGACACGATGACAAAGAAGTTGTTGGCCAGAGTAGAGAATGACTTCAGGATCCCAAATTCAACTGCCTTGTCACGGTAGCTTTTGAAGACAGTGTTCACGTAGAACCTCAGCAGGGCGTGGATGAGGTGGCAGCTCTCAGTCTCCTGGGGGGTGGCGGGGTCACTGCCAAGTCCAGGCTTCTGCCCACTCAGACCCCAGTGGACCACCCACGTGACGCATGCGGCAAGGTAAGCTCAGAGGAGGCCGGGGTCCTCTAGGAGATGGGGGTCTTAAAGGGCCTCAGACATCTTTGTTTGACCAGAGGACCCACAGGCCCAGAAAGGAAGGGCTCATCCAGGGTCCCACCACCAGTCAAGTGGCAGGCCCAGGCCTGGCCCCCAGGACCCCCGACTCCCAGGTGGTTAGATTTCTTTCTTCTCCAACCCATGGCCTCTCTAATAGCCCTGGGCAGTGATGGGCCTTGAAAAGCACCACCTCTTGGTTAGCTGAGCTTTGGCAGGGAAAAGATTCAGAAGGAGAAGAAATGAAGAGAAAGAAAACTAGTGTCCATGAACATAGGAATTGCACCCTGGACCCCGAGGTGCCACAGAGGGGAGCTCAGCATCTCTCAGGGATCAGAGCCCGGTGGTTTGTGCTCACTACCTAGATGGGTGAGAAGAAAGTAGGGGCATGGAAGAGGCCTAAGCAGATGGCTCTGGGCCAATGAGAGCAGAAGAGAAATCCAGATTGATGGAGACTCTGGGTAAATGGAGACAGATGTGTACAAGCCTCAGTTCCCGCCCTCTCCTCAGGTCCTGTATTCACATACCCTGGATACTGAGGAGACCAGCCCAGGTATTCCTCCTCTGGCTCACCACCCAGCCCTGACCTGTGCAAGCTCAGCATGGGACAGAAGTGAAGTCTTCTATCAGCCTCCCCTGGAGCACCCCTCAGCCTCACCCACAGAAGACCAGCCACCCAGAGGAGACAGCACCCTTCCCCCGCATCTGATTACCGGGATGTTCTGCAGAACCTCTTTCCGCAGCAGCTGGACACTCGTGATGTTATCCTGAGCTTGCTTGGGGAACAGAAAGGACAGATGTCTCCAGGTTGGGGGTCAGTATAGAAGCCAACCTTGCAAGTACATGCTGCTTGCCCAGACCCTTCAATCTATCCAGTCTGTACGACCTCAGAGGCCACAGGGGGGACCCAGGGAGGGCCATGCTGAGCTGGCCCCTGGGGTGGAGGTACAAGGTTCCAGCTCCAGAAAAGCACGAATCCTGGCCTCCCAGGGGCAGCTGGAATCCTAGGCGTTCTTAGAGCTTTGATGGGGGACTTGTTTGATTCCTTTAGTCACTTGAGGCACCAAGAAATACACCCATTTTGTTTAAGAACCACTTAACAGAATGTGGCAGAATGTTCCATCTTCCAAGGAGGGCAGGGGAGGCTGCATCTCGAGGCTTCCCCTGCAGCCCGCCACCTCTTGGGTTTCCAGCCAAAGAATCCTTGAGAGGAGGAGCTTTAAAACTCCTTTGTCCTACCTCCTCATTGTGCAAATAAGGAAACTGATAGGGTGGGAGTGGGGGGAGGCGGCTGTATGGATTGGTTTCAAGGTCAAGGTCACAGAGGTGTCCCGACCCAGTCCAGCACTCTCCTCTCTCCCCTGACTGCCTTGTCAAGCTCCTTCATTCTGCCTTGCATCTGGATTGTCCTTTAAGGAGTAGTGTCACAGGATGCATTAACTGTTCTTTTCCAACTCAGAATTAAACATTCTTTCAATCTTGAATCAAGGCCTCAGCAGAGGGGAACAAACTAGGAGGAGCTGGCAAAGCAGTAGGTGAAAACTCTGGTGGGTCTTAGGTAGGCTTACGTAACCCTGGGACAGAGATGAAGCTCAAACGAATCAGCTTTCCTTCTTTATTCCTCGTGGGCTGTTTCTTTTCCTATAGACTGGCCACATCTTTCTGAGCCTCAGTTTCCTCAAGAACAGAAGGAAATGTGGACCCACGATACCTCCGACTTCACTAAGCTCCTAGGTAGGAACGTGATTGCTGCTGCTGCTGCTAAGTCGCCTCAGTCGTGTCCGACTCTGTGCGACCCCATAGACGGCAGCCCACCAGGCTCTGCCGTCCCTGGGACTCTCCAGGCAAGAACACTGGAGTGGGTTGCCATTTCCTTCTCCAATGCATGAAAGTGAAAAGTGAAAGTGAAGTCGCTCAGTTGTGTCCAACTCCTAGCGACATCATGGACTGCAGCCTCCATCCATGGGATTTTCCAGGCAAGAGGACTGGAGTGGGGTGCCATTGCCTTCTAGCAAGCTGCAAAGGGCTCCATAATCATCAAATATTTTCCTCTACCCAGAATCACCCACAACACTGCTGGGTCCAGAACAACACTTCACTCACCACAATGTCCTTCACGGCCCAGAAGGCCTGCCACAGTTTCTGGAGAACTATGCCTTCTACTCGGCAGGGCCCAAACTGGAATTCTTGGCCCTGGACCCATGGCCCCGGGCTGCAGAGAAGCAGGATCAGACTCAGGCAGGGAAGGGCAGCCACGTGCGTGGAAGAGCTCATCTGCAGCAAAGAGGGTCCAGGAGGATCCTACGGGGGGATGGGAGCACCCCTGTGAGGGAGGATCCTGCTGGGGGAAGGGAGCACCCCTGTGAGGGAGCATCCTGCTGGGGGAAGGGAGCACCCCTGTGAGGGAGCATCCTGCTGGGGGAAGGGAGCACCCCTGTGAGGGAGGATCCTGCTGGGGGAAGGGGAGCACCCCTGTGAAGGAGCATCCTGCTGGGGGAAGGGGGTGCCTCTGTGAGGGCGGATCCTGCTGGGGGGAAGGGAGTGCCCCTGTGAGGGAGCATCCTGCCGGGGGAAGGGAGCACCCCTGTGAGGGAGCATCCTGCCGGGGGAAGGGGAGCATCCCTGTGAGGGAGGATCTTGCTGGGGGAAGGGAGCACCCCTGTGAGGGAGGATCCTGCTGGGGGAAGGGGAGCAACCCTGTGAGGGAGGATCCTGCTGGGGGAAGGGGAGCAACCCTGTGAGGGAGGATCCTGCTGGGGGAAGGGGAGCACCCCTGTGAGGGAGGATCCTGCTGGGGGAAGGGGAACACCCCTGTGAGGCAGGCCCTCGGCCCCAGGAGGGGTCCCCCTGGAGTAAGCCTCCTTGGCTCTGCTGCAGCCAGCCTTGGGGACACACAGATGAGAAACCTGAAATCAGGGTGGGTTCCTGGTGTTAGAATAATTCAAATGTGTGGCCTTGCCAGGGTGCCCTGGGTGGGGCAATGGTTTTTCAGCCCCAAGGGCCTTTCTGCCCCTCAGTCTCACACCCACTGGTCTGGCTATCCCCGCCACCTCCTCCCTCACCAACGCCCCTCTGCGTCTCTCTCTCTCTCTCTCTCTCTCTCTCTCACACACACACACACCGCCACCTCCTCCCTCACCACGCCCCTCCGCGTCTCACACACACACACACACACACACACACACACACACACACACAGGCCCTGCCCCACCTTCCGTGCTCCATTACAGTCCTCTCTAGCCAACAGCCCACTAGTCAGAATTTGACCAAGAAAAGTGAAGAAACGGGGCGTTATAATGTGCCAAAGAGCACATACAAGGATCCCAAACTCGGCAGAACACGTTCGCCTGATTGAGTTCTGCCCTCAAGTCACGGGACACAGTGGGAAGGTCTTTCTTCCCTCCCCCAGAGAAGGCCACCTCTGACTCTCCTCAGTGTCCAGGGGAGCTGCAGGTTTAATCCTGGCCCACAGGGATGGGCGAGCTGGTAGGCACACTCACTCTGCCACCTCAGCTGACCGACTCACTCTTGAGCTAGGAAGTATCTTTTCAGGTGACTAAACAAGAGGAGGAATCAGATTTCCACATGAATCACCTCTAAAGCCTTCCACTGACTGACTGTGTGAAGAGCCGCAAGCTAGAGACAGGGAACCCCCTTGTCTGTCATAGTGTATGCAGAGATTTCTTCTCCCTGACTCCCTGGCCTTTGCTTCTCTTCCTTTCTTCGTTCCTCAGAGCTCGGTCCCTCCCTTTCTTACTCCAGGCCCTGTTCTCACACCTGAGGACGCTCCGTCTTCCACCCCTCAGCTGGGCGGGAAGCCAGGAGAAGGTCTGTCTCCCCAGGGCCTGCCAACGTGCGAGCCACAGGAGTGGGCCCGGGGCCAGCACGCGTTGTCCCGTCACGCAGCGCTGAGCTCCAGCCTCTCCCTCCGCCACAGGCTCCTCAGCCTCTCTTGCAGTTTCACCTGTGGGCCTCATAATCCTCCTGGCCTTCCTCTCCTCCAGCCTAAACTCTTCCTGATGTTAAACCCAAGAGAGCAGCTCCTCCTCATAGCATGTCTCACCCTTTACATAAACACCGACAAAGGTGGCTTCTGTGTCTCCCCAGCCCCTAGGCCCAGTCGAGCAGCAGTCGGTCTCAGGCTTCAAAGCCAAGTACTCGGGAATCTCTCACCCAAGTACTTGGGAATCTCTCGTGGCCCAAGTACTTGAGTACTCCCATCACTCACCTCGGGCCCTGGAAGTGATGCTTGAAGGCTTGCGGTTGGTGGCAGCTGGTTCCTGTCGTACAGGAAGAAGTTTCGGCAGGCGCCCATGCACCCACACCATGCACCGACCAGGGGTGTAACGGTGGATGGAAGGCTCTTGTTCCAGCTGCGGAAGTTGTTTCCAAAGTAAAGGCGTGCAGGCAAGCCAGGCTTTGTGGAGCTTCATATATATGGGGGCTGTGGGGGAGGGGCGGGGAAGCAGAGGGAGGTGGAGAAAGGGAAACGGGTCATGCTTTCCCAGAGAATGACGTCAGTGCTAGTCAACCTTCGCTCTAGACAATGGGGCCATGGGGGAAGCAGCCCCTGGTGCAGTGAGTGCCGGGTCCGGGTTCCAGCTCTGCCATTGGCAGCGAGACGGGGGCAGGTCATCTAGCTACCTCGAACCTGGGTTTCTACATTCATAAAATTAAAACACACAAGCAAGCAAACAAAAGCTCTATCCCATCACCACGGGAGTATCAGTGCCATCAAGAGACCCGTCCTAGAAGGACGCTCAGCCTTCAGGTGTAAGGTGTGGGTGAGGGGCAGACTGAAGCAGTGTTTCCAACGCATTTTCTTTCCCCAGAATCTGGTCCTGAGGGATGCTTATCTGCAAGACTCTGTGCACTAAGGATTTCACACCCAGTAAATTAGAGAAGGCTGGCACGTGCTCGCCCCTCTTGGAAACCTCTAGTGCCCTGTAGGAGTCGGAAGCCTGGTGTGGGCTTAACACTGCTTAACCCAGTCTTTCCCACAGGTGTTAGACCATGACTCTGGGAAACACAGCCTGAGAAACACTGGACTCTGAATGAGGAACTGGCCAACTACTGGCTGAGAAGAAGCTAAGAACGGCTTAGCCTGGTGACTGAAGATAGTTTTTGTATTTTTTAATGATTGAAAAAAATTAAAAGAACATACGTTTTGGGACACATGAATGTGGGTAAATTAAAATTTCAATATCCATAAATAAATTTTTACTGGGGCGCAGTCATGCCCATTTGTTCACATGTGGTTTGCTGCTTCTGTGTTACAAGGATGAGTAGCTGTGACTGAGGCCACGTGGCCCACAAAGTCACAAATATTTACTTTTAACATCTGACCCTTCGCAGAGAGGGCTTGCTGAGCCTTGTTCTGAATTACCTTCTTGCGTGAACATTGTAAGAGTTTCTTTAAACCTGGATCCAGGCAAAGTCATGGTAATAGAAATGTGATGTGAGGGGCAGGATAACTTTCTCTAGGTCTCCTTGGAGAAAAAAGAACAGGGGACATTAGGAGGAGCTGCTGCTGCTGCTGCTGCTGCTGCTGTTTAATCACTAAATTGTGTCTAACTCTTTGCAGCCCCAGGGACTGCAGACCTCCAGGCTCCTCTGTCCGTAGGATTCTCCAGGCAAGAATACTGGAGTGGGTAGCCATTTCCTTCTCCAAGGGATCTTTCCCACCCAGGGATGAAACCCATGTCTTCTGCTTGGCAGGTGGATTCTTTACCACTGAGCAGCCCTTTCCAGTCTCTCCAGTCAGCAGACCCTTAATCTCTCTTCTCTCCATCACAGACACAGTGCTGTTTGTTTTCTTTAGTAAATCAAATACGTGCTGCAATCCCCAGCCAGCAGGCTGGCCAGCTGCCACTGCTGTATTACGGACCATGCTTGAGGCCTTTGCTCCCAGAAGGCTGAGTCTTGTTCTCTAGTCCTAGACAGGGGTCCACATCACAACCCCCTTTTCCTTTCAGGATCTAGGTCCCTACTAATAATTTCTAACTACCATGAGAAGAAGACACCAAGAGGCTTTGATGAGACAAAGAAGACAAACTAAGAATATTGGGACAATAGATGAGGGGGAGGGCAAACAGGACTGGAGAGTCTAGACAGCCAAAGCTGGAAGCTGAGAGCAAAAGTGAGCCCAAGGGCATCTGCAATCCTAGACAACTGTCTATGGATCCGCAGGAGAGCAGGAGGGATGTGGTGTCAGCAGGACAGGCCAGGACAGAGGCATGAGGTCATGCAGACAGCTAGGCAGGCTCCCAAATAGCCACCTGGGGTCATGAGCAGCTCTTCCTGTCTAAGGGAGGAGTAACGTAACACAGAGATCCCAGGCAAACACGTGCCTGAGTCTCAGGCTTGGCTGAGCTTATCCCCGGGAGGGCGTGATTCCCCAGGGAGGACGGGCATGGAGGGAACTCAAGGACCTTGGCCCCAGGTCAACTGAGATCGCTGGTTAGGAGTTCACACCTTGTCTGCAGGCAGCCCTGGGTCCAAAACATCATGAGCCCAGGAGCCCTCTGAGTTTCAGCTTCCTCGCCTGTAAAACCGAATCCCCCCAGGCCCCAAGGGCAGTGACATAAAGTCTTGCTGCTCAAAGTGTGGTCTGTGCTCCAGCAGAACAGCAATATGTAGGAGTTCGTTAGAAATGCAAGATCTCGGACCCTTCCCCCAAAACTACTGAACCGGAAAACGCACTTTAAAAACTCCCAAGATGATTCTTAAGTATGTTAAAACTGGAGAAGCGTTTACATAAAACACAGGAAGTATCTGGTATCTTCCCCATGGTAAATGCTTAACAAACGGGAGCTACAAGTGAAGCAGAAGGAATTAGAGCGATGGCTCTCCACGGGGCAATTTTGACCCCGGGGAATAGCTGACAATGTCTCGAGACATTTCAGGTTGTCATAATGGGGAATGGGGGGTGGGAAGTGGGGTGCTACTCACAGGTAGTGGCATGGGCCAAGGGACGCTGCCAAACACCCTACAGTGTATGGGACGGCCCCTCCCCACCAAGAACCAGCTGACAGCCCCCCTAAATGCCCACAGTGCTGAGGCCCAGAAATCCCGGACTAGGGGAGAGCAGTATCTGCAGGGGAAAGAACTGACATAGACATAGAGACGTGTCAGAAGTGTACCCTTCGGCGGGGAAGGGTTGTGGTGAGAGAAGCAGTGGACTGTTGAGACGGTCAGGAGAGGGGAAGGAAAATAAGGTGGCAGCTCCGCAGACGGGGCCCAAAGGCCTCGGGTGGGAGCAGCGGGCGAGGCCCGGCGCGCTGGCTCACCGCCATCCCCCCCCACCCCCGACTCCCAGGGAAGCTCCACGTCTCAGACTTGGAGAAACTGGAGGAAGTGGGGCTGGTCTCTTAGTCCAGATCCGTGGATTTTCATCCCAACTCCATGCTAGGTGAGACGAAGATCAGAAGCTCTCCTAATATCTCTCATCTCCTTGCTCTCTGGAAACTTGGAAAACTTCCTTCACAATAATACTGGGTGGGAGAAAAGGTCCTCTGTGGATAAACTTTGATTTACATGGCCACTTTCCCCCTAAATACCCTTTATTAGATTGAGGGTGTTTATTCTCTGACTCTCAGGCCACTCCTGTCGGATATGCATGTATGCTTGTCGTGTATGTCATAGCATGTCTGCAGTCTGAGTTTTCCATTTGAGAATAACTCTACTCCCCACCCCCCCGACATCCCCTACACATTCTCCTAAACCTACAGAAAGAGGAAAGGGCTGAACCAGGTGGAGAAGGGTCCCTTCTCCACTCCTGGGTAAGGCAGTAAAGATCTCACTCTAAACCTGAATATCCCACCTTGTGACTGATAGAAATGCCCTGCAGGAAAGAAGTGATGAGAATATGAAGTAGGGTTTCCTGAGCACCAGAGATAAAGGAAAGTTACATCACCATTTTTCTTCCAGTGAACTGATTTAATCTCCACTCTAAAATAGATTGTTATCTCGCTATTTGGCTGGGAACACGTGCACTGACAGATGTGAGATTTCTGGACTTTTGTCAGTTCTTCTCCCTGTTTCAGCTGCTGTTCTTCTAGGAGTGGAGATGAGAGGTGGGTGTCCACTGGTTGGCCCCCTAGACTGGCACTTTGCCATTCAATCTTGTCCTCTATCACTGGTATAATAAATAATTTATTATTACAGGCATTTCAAAGGATAGGAGTGAAAACAAACACACATCAGTCTTACAGCTCTACAGCACGCTCAGATGTACAAAATACCTCTAAGTGAAATCTCTCATTTGCTATTCACTATAACAAAAATGTTAGAAGGAGGACAGATATTGTTAACTGTCCTTTGCAGATTAGAAAACTGAGATTTAGAAAGGTCAAATAATTTTCCCTACATCACATAAATAAATGACCAAATCATAACTAGAGTACAGGTCTTCTGGCTCTCAGTCAGTATTCTTTCTTCGGTTCCACCCTTCATCAACTTCTCAGTCTTGCATGTATTCACACAGTTACTGAATAAGCACTTCCTATGCACCTACTGAGTGTCAGAAAAGGCTATACAAAAATGAATGACTATCATAATGTTTACATAAATGTCCAGAAAAGACAACTTATAGAGACAGAAAATAGAGTACTGGCTGCCTAGGGCTTGGAGTTGGGAATTTGGTGGATGGAAGGAGTTGGGAGTGACTAAAGATGAATACAAAGTTTCTTTGGGGAGTGAAGAAAATATTCTAAAATTAGATTATAGTGATGCACTCTGTGAGTATACTAAAACCCACTGAACTGTACACTTTAAGCAGTGAACTCTGTGGTGTGTAAATTATATCTCAATAAAGCTGTTTTTTTAAAAAAATTAAGACTCAGTTATTGTTCTCAGTTCTAATGAGTCAATAGAGTGAATACACTTGCAAACAGATAATTGCAACACCAAGTCATGGGAATGTGTTGACACCAGTAACAGAAGGATGCTGTCAATGAAAACATCAGGGTGAGGTCTTGGTAAGATGTATCTTGGATGTTGCTGGAAGGGTTGAGAAGCTTCCTAGTGGAGGTGACATTTGATCTGAGACTTGAAGCCTGAGTAGAAATTTGCCAGCAAAAATAAAGGAGGATGTCTTCTGGAGACCTCTGTGACCTCCACTAATTCTATGACCATACAACAGCTACAAGGAACCAAGGAGAAGAAGGTTCTAGAAGTTGCTGGAAGAACAAGGATCCTTGATTGCTGTTTTGCTTGATGATTAATGGAAATCCATGAGCAAGAGCAATTTAAATATAGTTATAGGATATGTAAGGGAACCTAAGGTGCTACTGAGCCCCAAGAGCTGTAGACAGGAAGGGAGAAGTAGGGTGAAGGACTTGGGTCTCAGTTTTCTAAGCAAAGGCTTTATTTTAGCCAATCACAAGAAAGAGAACCATAAGAGACATCCAACTCTGAAAACTGCAATTGAGTCCCAGAAGCCAGCTTCCTGTGCCTTCTCACAGCCTGCGGAGCACCAACTCTGAGTCTCAGGGGCATGAATGTCTTAAATAAACATATGGCAGTAAACAGGGTTGAAGAAAATGATAGTTACAGAGTCTCCTGAGTAGATTCAGGTCAAGAAATGTGGTCCATTTCCCCTGTGTCACCATGTCTCTCATATATCCAAAGCTGCTTTTTCTAAAAGACACATATTTTGGAGGGGAAGAAAGGAAGGCAAGTAAGGAGGGAGGGACGGACTGAGGGGAGGGGGAAGGGAAGAAGGAAGGAGAAAAAAAGAAAGTGAAAGGAGGAGAAGGAGCAAGAGAGGGAAAAGATTTCGGTTGAAATGAGATATATTTCATACTCAGCAGTTTGTCAGCATCAATATTCCTGAAATAGCTCCCCTGCCTTCCTCCTATTCAAATTCATTCTCTGGACATACAAGGAACCTTTTAGAGATCTCGACAGCAGTGATCACCCCACTCCTGTGTTCATCTCTGATGGCACAGATGTGACCCCTCCCTGCACCCTGGTGGTCTTGCCCACCAGGCTGTGAACTCCCTGGGCACCACCACTGACTTTCCTTTGTCTCAGAAGGGCCCTCAGAGCCTGGCACATGGTGGGCGCTCCGTAAGCGTTTGTCGACTAAGTGCATTTCTTAAGACTGATCCCCAAACCTAACTGCTTACAGGACCCAGTATCCTCCCTGACTGTGTAGACAGAAAGTGAAAGTCAAAGTCACTCTGCAACCCCATGGACTATAGAGTCCAAGGAATTCTCCAGGCCAGAATACTGGAGTGGGTAGCCGTTCCCTTCTCCAAGGGATCTTCCCAACCCAGGGACTGAACCCAGGTCTCCCACATTGCAGGTGGATTCTTTACCAGCTGAGCCACAAGGGAAGCCCAGTACATAAAGTCTTTGCCAAATGTTCACCAACATGTTCAGGCAACAATCTCTGGGTTGTGAGACACTGCTTTGTGTCCCATGGCCTGATTAAATATCTGGGCCAGCTTTGCATGTGCCCTTAGTATGAGAGTAAAGACTTGTGAAATGATACTATAACCACTCATCTGGTTGTAGAATCCCAGAGAAACAGAATCTGTGCTTAGGTCAGCACAGGAGGGAGTCCTGGGTCTGTGAATAAGAAACCCAATCCCATCCTAGAGCTTCCAAACTGCTGCCTTAAATATGCTTTCTCTGTGCCACCTGTCCCATTCTGCCAAAGGGGGAAATGGTTCCTATTTCATCTATCTTACAGACTCTCCCAGTCTCATCCCTCTTTAAACAGAATGCCCACTGCTTCATAAGATCCTTCTAAATGCACAACTCTGATCATACTACTCCTTAACCTTTAAAATTATCCTTGACTTCTCCCAGTCCATTGCTCTTTTTCCATTTCTGTATTCATCAGTGCCTAGCACAGAGCCTTCAACATTTTAGTTTGTTCTTGACTCAATTCTTAATTTCAAAACCAAGTAATGGAATACATTTAAGGGGGAAGATAAATTAAATTGATTTTTATACTCCTCAACTGATGCTATTCCATGCGTAAGAGTCCATGTAATAGAATGCCATTCAACTACTAAATGTAATTTGTCTTTACATCCCTTAAAAAAAAAACCCTTTTATAACAGTTCAGACTTAAAAACAAAGTTATAGATGACATATGCAGTATGGTCCCATTTTTGTAAAAAAAATAATAATAATAAAATGAGCATATGTACGTGTTGAAAAATCTAGAAATATAAACACCAAAATGTTAACAGGATTACATTTGAGTAGTGAGATGATGAGTATTTTCCTTTTCTAGAGCTTATCTATATTTTCCAAGGTTATACAAGTCTAATTCAAATGTAAGTTTTTTTTAAGTTATTTAAAATTTAAATAAATCACAAGTTTCACCATTGCCCACAGAAAATCACTGAAATTCCCGGCATGGAAGCGCCCATTCTCTGACATCTGGCTACTCACCTTCCCAACTGTATCTCTTCCCACACCTCTGCTCACCATGCTCCAGCCAAACTCCTCACCTCCATTTTCTGCCTCTGCACCACTGTTCATGGAATTTGGGATGTCCTTATCATGTGCCAAACACTAACAAAACAATCTATTGCTTCGACATAAAAAGATGCAGTGATACGTCATTGACTGTCAAAGACAAATTGCATATATATGTATACATGTGTTCACATACGTGCATATACATGCTATAAAAAGTGTGTGCATGCACACACACACACACACACATCCTGCTAAAGACATTTATTTTGAAGCAGTACAATTGCAGGCTGGGTAGATTTTTATTTTCATCTTTAAAGGATTTTGTATAATTGATGTAAAAAGAACTCAACAAACACCTACCATTTGAGAGAGAGAGATTTGCATTAAAATTTTACTTGTCTTTCAAGGTCTCCTTCTTGAAGCTATTCTAAAAGCTGCAAGGAATTTTTGCCACCTTTGAACACCACAGGGATTTGAATTTCTTTTTTGGCACTGAATCTCATCTTTCCCCTTCCCTTGTCCCTATCTGTCTCCCCCCCTTCCCTCCTTCCTCTCCCTCTCCACCTCTGTATACCCACCCCCAACTTTCTCAATCTAGGACCTTGAGGGGACAAAGGAACAGATATGTTCTCCTCCTCATGCTGCCCAGCACAGCAGAGTATGTTATTGAAAAAAATAAGCAAGTAGTGGGTAAGATGCTTGATAGGAAAAGTATTCAGAATGATATGGAGTCTGCATTTTGGTAGGTTAATCTCATCACAAGACTAGAGAATTGGAAAAAGGTAAAAGGAGTAAAAGACACTTACTCCTTGGAAGAAAAGTTATGACCAACCTAGACAGCTTATTAAAAAGCAGAGACATTACTTTGCCAACAAAGATCTGTCTAGTCAAAGCTATGGTTTTTCCAGTAGTCATGTATGGATGTGAGAGTTGGACTATAAAGAAAGCTGAGCACCAAAGGACTGATGCTTTTGAACTGTGGTGTTGGAGAAGACTCTTGAGAGTCCCTTGGACTGCAAGGAGATCCAACCAGTCCATCCTAAAGGAAATCAGTCCTGAATATTCATTGGAAGGACTGATGCTGAAGCTGAAACTCCAATACTTTGGCCACCTGATGGGAAGAACTGACTCATTGGAAAAGACCCTGATGCTGGGAAAGATTGAAGGTGGGAGGAGAAGGGGATGACAGAGGATGAGATGGTTGGATGGCATCACTGACTCAATGGAGATGAGTTTGAGTAAACTCCAGGAGTTGGTGATGGACAGGGAAGCCTGGCATGCTACAGTCCATGGGGTTGCAAAGAGTCAGACACAACTGAGTGACTGAACTGAACTGAACTGATTCTAGGTGGGATGTCCACTGGGATGTATGAGAGACATTGCAGTTACAGCTTCCCTCTTCTTAGAAGACAGAAAAATTGCACTTCTCTGCCCTGTGGAAGCTTGGCATGGCCATTGGACTATTTTGACCAGTGAAATATAAGTGAAAGAATCAAGTGTCTTTTCAGGTGGAAGCATTTAAAACACAGGGCACAGTTCTCAATGCGCGCTCCTACCTTGCTCGAATTGGGATGGCAGCGTTATGGGATGGAAGTGTTTCCTCCACCTGGGTCCCTGTGTAGCCATGATAAGGCCACGCTAATACGTATCAGACATGTATTATAAGTGAGAAATAATTTTTGTCATAAGAAGCCACTGAGAAAGACTAAGGTATTGTCTGCTGCTGCAGCATAATGTAGCCTCACCTAATATAGAAGGAATGTAGAGGGGAGAGGGATTTAAACACATTTCAAATCCCTTTCCGCCCTCAGAAAATCAATGCAGACTCTGCTATAGGCAAAACTGCTATTCTACATGCTATTTGGACAACTCATTATAAGTCACAGGAGTCTCGATTCTTCTTTGTTGGAAAGTACTGCTTTCTCCTTGCATACAATGTAAACTATGCATTCAGCAGGATGAGGTCATGTTATGGCATGAGGCTGACCACTTTGGGATCCAGGAATTGGCGGCCCAGTCATTCAGGCGTCACATAAGGGACTGCAGCTCTGGAATGGAGCAGGGACGGAAGTCTGAGAGCCTGTCTGAGAGAGAGAGCCCTGTGCCCTGGGCAGGGGTGAGAGAGGGACTCTGCTATTCAAAGGTGCCAGCAAAAAGCTTTGAACAAGCTCACACACACACACCACATACTCACTTACTACATAGATTTTAAAACTGGCAAAGAAAGGCAGGCAAAGGCCCAGCAGGTCTAAACTTGTCCCAGAATGTGAGAAAGTAGAGATCATGTCCCTGAAAAGCCTTAAGGTTTTCAGTACATAGGGTACTGGAAATGCACAATGACGTAGGCTCTTAAACCGAAATAAATTGGTTTTTGGTTCCTCATCTCCTTTGTCCAGAGGTAAAGGATCAAACCCGGGGAATCATCCAAAGTGGTGAAGAGTAGAAGCTGCTTCCAGCAACAGTGAGTGGGGCTCTCTCCATCAGACTCTGACTTTAACTTCCAAACTGTGTCCTCTCAGAAAATACACTACTCATGAAATGAAGGACAAATTCACTATCTCCCTCTGTAGCCTAATCCCTGCCTCGAAAAGTCACCACCTGTCGTCCCAGACCAGAGAGACAGCTCCACAAGGGAGTAGAACTAATGGATCTAATCACTTAATTCTGATTGAGTGAATTCTGCCTTCCCACAATAAAATAAGAATAAACATAACCTGGAATATCAGAATCTGAATGTCTATGTTTCATTAACCTGGGGAAAAAAACTAGAAATTAAAAATCTCAAAGTGTGTGGCCCCCAGTGCTGATACAAAGCTAGCTGGCTCTTGCAGAGCTCCACTCCATAGTGTAGTGTGAGAAGTTCTGAAGGGATGTATCTCATAGCTTTGTCCATGAACCGTCCATGCCATCAGGGTTGGCTGAACCAATGACAGCAAGCTCTAAGTGCTGCCCCAGGGACAGTGATAATGGGACTTTCCTCCCCAGGTTTTCAGTGCCAATGCACTTCAGTCAAAAAGCATTTCAAGGTCACATTCACCCCTAATAAGGTGTTTGAATCCAAAGTATTACAGAGTTCAGTGGAGCAACTTTTCCAATTTATACCCAGAGACTTTCTTGGCTCTAGGATGCCCACATACCTCAAGAGTGGTTGATTTGGGCAGCTTTGGTATCATGGGGCTGGAACTCATCATTTCTTAGGGGTGGGAGAGGGGCTGGTAATGGTTGGGTCTCAGCACTAGTTCAATAAGGCAGCCTATGGCATAGTACTTTACTAAATACTTCCACAATTTGATATTCACCAAAGCCCTGTGAAATGAAGCGTACATCATTATCTCCATTTTAACAACTAGGAAACCAAGGCAAAGGGGAAAACTACACTAAACAGTGACTTGCCGAAGCTCATAGAGCTAGAAGATGGAACTACCTAGACTCAACCACCCGGTCCCTGACTCCAAGCCGGGTGTACCAGTGACAGTGCTCTGACTAGAAAGCATGCCACTGTGAAGTCACACTTCCTGTGGACCCCGGCTCTGAGAATTAGCAGCTGTGCGATCATGGGTGAGTTACTGGATTCTTATATGCTTCACTTCCCTCATCAATAGAGTAAGAATAACAATACAAGTCATCTCATAGGTATTTGTGAGGACTAAATGAGAAAAATACATGCAAAGCACATAGAAGTCAGCCTAACACACCAGGAAGCAAGAGAAAGAGTTAACTATTATGAAAGCATTACTACTATTATTCTTATATATTACCATGACACATAGTGCTTTTTTTTTTATTGAAAAGAGCCTGATATGGTTACAAACAATTTTTACCCTGTAACTATAACAACTTCTGTTTAGGAAAAATCTTTCAAGCACTCATAAGAGTACCCAATATGGAAACAGTAGAATATACCACAATATACTACAGCCAATCCCCAGTTTTTAGCAGTCTGTTTAGGGAATCTGTGAAATTGTTTTGAAATGATGGTAGAAGGACAGAAGGAATAGATGAAGGGGATTATGAGGTACAAACTTCCAATTGTAAAATATTACTAAGTCATGGGGATGTCATGCACAGAAGAGAGACTATAACCACCAATATTGTAATAACTTCATACGGTGACAGAATGTAACCAGGCTTATCGTGGGCATCATTTTGTGATGTGTATAAAATCTAAATCACTGTGTCTTACACCTGAACCTATTATAATAGTATGTCTCAATTATACTTCAATAAAAAGGAAAAAAATTAGAAAACTTAAAAAAACAAAAGTCCAGCCCCAAGAGAAGTCATGTGAGAATATGATACGAAAGCTTCAGGACCAGAATTCATTGAGTGGGCTCTTTTTTGATTGACAGTGTAATAAAAGTAATGAGAACCAAATCATTTCCTAACCAGCCCAATCCTTTTGTACTAAAATCATTATACTATAGCTAGTTCTACTTTTGGCCAAAGTTTGTTGATCTGAAATGCTTTTATTTCATCTTCATTTTCAAACTTAATTGAAATATAATTCACCTTTTTAAAATGTACGATTCAGTGGGTTTTGGTATATTCACAGAATTGTGCAACTGGCACCATGATCTGATTTCTAAACTTTTTCATTACCCCAGACAGAAACCTCATACCCACTGGCATCACACCCTACACCACCCTCCCTTAGTCCCTAGAAACAGCTGTTTCTTCTGTCCCTGTGGTTTTACCTATTCTGAGTGTTTCCCCACATTATATTTGAAATGTTATAAAGATAATTTCAAGTTTAGGATATTAGCGTCCTCTGAGGAGTATTTATATTTGCTTCTGTAAGGGGATTGGCAATTCCACATTAACTTAATCCAATCATAGAATGAGATGATTCAAAGTTGATTTTCTGTCCCTGTATGGGATTACCATGGGTTACCATGACCCCTAGAGGGTAGCACATGGGGATCTCAGCTGCAAGCTTGGCCAGGAGATCACCAGGACCCCTTCTTCATCGGCAGACTAGGAGCACGTACTGCTCTTCCCCCGACCCTGTAAATTTGTGGCAAATTGAGCACATCGGTCTCCAATCTTCCATCAGCTTTTTTATAATTGGAATGTAGCTGCTTTACAAGGTCGTGTTGGTTTCTGCCATAGAGCAAAGTGAACCAGCCATAGACACACCTATGTTCCCTCTTGGTCACCACAGAGCACTGAGTAAGCTCTGTGAGCTGCAGTGGGTTCTCTTTAGTTACCTGTTTCACACATAGCTGTGCATAGATGTCGTCCTAGTCTTCCAGCTCATCCTGCCCATTTCCCCATTGGGTATCCATGCGTGTATGATACTCATCCATACTGAGCAACTGAACCACCACCACCATCAAGGAAAAGCAGTCCCCAGTGCTGAGCTCTCTTCACTGGGTTTCCCTCTCCCAAATCTTGGCCCTGGGATTTTTGCCTGTCTTGTTATCTCTTCAAAACCTTCAGTTTGGGGGGGGGGGGTTAATTTCCCGATTTTTGCAACTTTTCTTGAACTCTCCTCATTGTGTTAGTCATTCAGTCCTGCCCAACTCTTTAGGACCACATGGACTGTAGCCCGCCAGGCTCCTCTGTCCATGGGATTCTCCAGGCAAGGATACTGGAGTGGGTTGCCATTTCCTTCTCCAAAGGATCTTCCCCACCCAGGGATCAAGCCCAGGTCTCCTGCACTGCAGGCAGATTCTTTACCAACTGAGCTACAAGGGAAGCCACACATCTAAAAGCCAGTAGCAATTTTCTCCTTCAGGCAGAACAGACAAAGAAAATTCTTCCACATAGTCACCAGCTCCCCAACAGCTTCAGAAAAACCACTGTCTTCTGCCACTGGCAGGAGAGACACACCTATTAGGCATGTCCGTGAAGGTCGAAAAAGATAACCCAGGAAAATGCTTATAGAATTTTGTAGTAATCATGTTTCCCACTTTGTTCCAGCCTCAGTAAAGCTCAGAGCTGAATTTTGATCCTTCTAGCAAGTCATGACTCAGAACCTTATGACATGTCCTTTGTGGAATAATCTTAGCTCAACATCATTGTATTATCGGTGTTCTGTTTCATCTAGTTTCCTTAAATCTTGTTGTATTACATGTATTCTCATAAGTCACTCTCGATCACTTTAATAGAAAGTGGGACACAAATAAGTAAATAACATACATTAAATTAGAGTGTTTTCAGATCTGAAAGAGACACATTCACCCCAATGTTCATCGCAGTACTGTTTATAATAGCCAGGACATGGAAGCAACCTAGATGCCTATCAGCAGACGAATGGATAAGGAAGCCGTGGTACATATACACCATGGAATATTACTCAGCCATTAAAAAGAATTCATTTGAATCAGTTCTAATGAGATGGATGAAACTGGAGCCCATTATACAGAGTGAAGTAAACCAGAAAGATAAAGACCATTACAGTATACTAACACATATATATGGAATTTAGAAAGATGGTAATGATAACCCTATATGCAAAACAGAAAAAGAGACTCAGATGTATAGAACAGACTTTTGGACTCTGCGGGAGAAGGTGAGGGTGGGATGTTTCAAGAGAACAGCATCCAAACATGTATATTATCTAGGGTGAAACAGATCACCAGCCCAGTCTGGATGCATGAGACAAGTGCTCGGGCCTGGTGCACTGGGAAGACCCAGAGGGATCGGGTGGAGAGGGAGGTGGGAGCGGGGATCGGGATGGGGAATACATGTAAATCCATGGCTAATTCATGTCAATGTATGACGAAAACCACTACAGTACTGTAAAGTAATTAGCCTCCAACTAATAAAAATAAATGAAAAAAAAA